TGTCCTCTAACAGAGACCTAGCCTCAGTAGGTCTAACCTGCTGTCCCTGTTCTGCCTGTGACCCTTTACATTGTCCTGATTGTGCGACCTCTAAGCAGGCCTAACTTTTCCTGAATAACTTGTGCAAAAAACAATATTTGAACACAGTCATTATAATAGGTTATATGGACACAAATCCATTTACGAGGTGGCCAGGGCCCCATTGTGAACCTATTTCTGCCCAGTGTGGATGCACTCAGGCCACTGAAAGCACATAAATTAATTTAAGATAATCTGAATAGCAAAAAAATACAGAGGACCCAATGTAGACAGAAGAGCCACATCCGGCTCACATGTAAGTTTCATGTGTGGATGCACTTATTGGGATAAGAGAGTGTTCTGATTAGCATATTCTGATTTAAGTAAGAAATGTAGACATAATACACAGCCAGTGGTGGAAAAAGTACCCAATTGTCATACTTTAGTAAAACTATAGACACAGTGCATTTTTAAAGCATTCAGACTCCTTGACTTTTCCCAAAATTGATTAAATGAACAAAATTCCTCATCAATCTAAACACAATACCCCATAATGACAAAGTGAAAACTGTTTTTTTGACATTTCTTGCAAATTTATAAAAAATAAAAAACAGAAATACCTTATTTACAAAAGTATTTAGACCCTTTGCTATAAGACTCGAATTTGAGCTCAGGTGCATCCTGTTTCCATTGATCATCCTTGAGATGTTTCTACAACTTGATTGGAGTCCACCTGTGGTAGATTCAATTGATTTTGAAATGATTTGGAAAGGCACACACCTGTCTATAGAAGGTCCCACAGTTGACAATGCATCTCAGAGCAAAATCCAAGCCATGAGGTCGAAGGAATTGTCCGTAGAGTTCCGAGACAGGATTGCGTCGAGGCACAGATCTGGGGAAGGGTACCAAAAAATTTCTGCAGCATTGAAGGTCCACAAGAACACAATTGCCTCCATCATTCTTAAATGGAAGAAATGTGGAACAGCCAAGACTCTTCCTAGAGCTGGCTGCCCGGTCAAACTGAGCAATTGGGGGAGAAGGGCCTTGGTCAGGGAGGTGACCAAGAACCCGATGGTCACTCTGACAGAGCTCCAGAGTTGCTCTGTGGAGATGGGAGAACCTTCTAGAAGGACAACCATCTCTGCAGCAGTCCATCAATCAGGCCTTTATGGAAGAGTGGCCAGACGGAAGCCACTCCTCAGTAAAAGGCACATGACAGCCCACTTGGAGTTTGCCAAAAGGCACCTAAAGACTCTCAGACCATGAGAAACAAGATTAAACTCTTTGACCTGAATGCCAAGCGTCACGTCTGGAGGAAACCTGGCACCATCCCTACGGTGAAGCATGGTGGTGGCAGCATCATGCTGTGGGGATGGTATTCAGCGGCAGGGACTGGGAGACTAGTCTGGATCAAGGGAAAGATGAACGGAGCAAAGTACAGAGAGATCCTTGATGAAAACCTGATTCATGTTTTTCAAAAATGTCACATATACGGTTTATATACTTCCATAAATGTTTCAACTGGTACCGGGGGACCTTCAGACGAGTCTTGTGAGGCGTGTGGGCAAAACAACCGACATGTACGTGTTCGTCAGAGCCTCACCTTTCCACAGAGGGTTCATATTAGTGTTTAGGCCAAACCGTTCAGACGCTACAGATGATTTTGTGAGATTTTTGGGACGTCTCATGGTCTGACAAACACCGTTCTAGCTCTGTCACCTTTCACTGCAGATGCGGAATGCGGGGGATTGAGACACATCCAATGCAAAAAAACATACGTCTAGCTTAAACTGACAGATTTAATGAGATTATTTTATTATGCTAATTTCATTTACACGGGGGCGCAGACATCGACCTTAGTTAAAATCAGATCTAAATAATATCAAGGGGCTAGAAATCCAGGGATAATGCCTTGATCACATCTACAGTGTCATTGCACAAAATGGTATGCAGCATCATCTGGATATGTGTGCAATAAAAGTTCAATATTCACTTTCTGTTACCATTTCTGTCAAGCCATCTACGCATACAGTTTGATACATACGTTCGATAAATCCAACGTATGCACCACACAGACCGCACTGCAACTGCCTCTGCACCGCAATGCTGCAAGGCAAACGCAGCGTTCAATTGGACATTAATGTACTTCTGGTGTGATCGAGGCGTTAAAAATGAAGGTTTCATTGTACGCTGATGACTCATGTTTTCTTTTAAATCTGCAATTTGGATCCTTGCACAGCCTCATAGAGGATCTAGATAATTTTTCTAACCTCTCTGGATTACAACCGAACTATGATAAGTGCACCATATTACATATTGGATTGGACATATTCGGTATTCATATCCCAAAATAAATAAATGATCTCACTACAATACATTTTAATAGAAGTTAGTAAAAATATATAAGATCTTGCTACCATCGAAAGGTAAATACCTGTTTATTTGTGGAAAAATCACCCTGATTAATTCTTTAGTCATATCCCAGTTTACCTATTTACTTATGGCCCTGCCTACACCGAACGACTAGTTTTTTTTTAAATTATATGAGCAAAAAATATTCCACTACAGATTACAACCTCTCACTTTCAGTTAATTGAAAATGAAATAATCTCCAAAATATCGTTATTTAAAAATTAAAGCCATAGAAACCTGGTTGCAATTTCAGTTTAATCCACCAGAAAAGACAGAACAAATATAACAACAAATATTATGGTTAAACTCAAATATACTAATTGTTTAAAAATGGTATAATCTTTGTTAATTATATCAAAAATAGGACTGGTGGAGTTATATCACATATGCGGCTAACAAAAATCTATGGAAATGTCTGATCTATCTAAAGTTACATCTAACTGATTGCAGCATTACCGCAAAAATGGAGGAGGAAAGTGGAAGGGGGAGAAGCTAAATGAAATGAAAAAGTATACCAGTTCCATTTAATGACCAGAAAAATGACAGCTGCCCCCTACAGGTTGCAAAATGGTTGGGAATACATTTTCGATGTGCCGATTCCGTGGCACATGGTGGTCCTCTGTAGCTCAATTGGTAGAGCATGGCACTTCAAGGGGATCAAATACTTTTTTCCCCTCACTGTAATTATCAAAAGTAAAAGTATAAATCATTTAAAATTCCGTATATTAAGCAAACCAGATGGCATAATTTTCTTGTTTTTTAAATTTGCAGTTAGCCAGGGGGCACACTCCAACACCCAGACATCATTTACAAACAAAGACTGTGTGTTTAGTGAGTCTGCCAGATCAGATGCAGTAGGGATGACCAGTGATTTTCTCTTGATAAGTGCATTAATTGGAAAAATTACCTGTCCTGCTAAGCATTCAAAATGTAACGAGTACTTTTGGGTGTCTGGGAAATGTAAAGAGTAGAAAGTACATTATTGTAGTGGAGTAAAAGTAAAAGTTGTCCAAAATATACTTAACCCTCCCGTTGTCCTAGGGTCAAAATGACCCGCCACTGTGTTGAACCAACTTTATTTAATTTTTATATTTTGGGGATCATTTGTGAGAAGGAGGCAGTGAGACTTTAAAGAAAGTATCTCTGCCTCCTTCTCACAAATGATCCAAAAAATATAAAAATTAAATAAAGTTGGTTCAACACAGTGGCGGGTCATTTTGACCCTAGGACAACGGGAGGGTTAAGTAGTACTTTAAAGTATCTTTACACCACTGATTACAAACATACCCATAACATGATGCAGCCACCACTATGCTTGGAAATATGGGGAGTGGTACTCCTTAATGTGTTGTATTGGATTTGCCCCAAACATAATACTTTCTATTCAGGACAAAAAGTTCATTGCCTTGCCAAATGTTTTGCAGTATTACTATAGTGCCTTGTTGCAAACATGATGCATGTTTTGGAATATTTTTATTCTGTACAAGCTTCTTTCTTTTCACTCTGTCAATTAGGTTAGTATTGTGGAGTAACTACAATGTTGTTGATCCATCCTAATTTTTCTCCTATCACAGCCATTAAAATCTGTAACTGTTTTAAAGTCATCATTGCCCTCATGCTGAAATCCCTGAGCGGTTTCCTTCCTCTCCAGTAACTGAGTTAGGAAGGACAACTGTAACTTTGTAGTGACTGGGTGTATCGATACACCATCGAAAGTGTAATTAATAACTTCATCATGCTCAAAGAGATATTCAATGTCAGCTTTTTTATTTTTACCCATCTACCAATAGGTGCCCTTCTTTACGAGGCATTGGAAAACCTCCCTGGTCTTTGTGGTTGAATCTGTGTATGAAATTCACTGCTCGACTTGAGGGACCTTACAGATAATTGTATGTGTTGTGTAAAGAGATGAGCTAGTCATTCAAAAATCCCATGTTAAACACTATTATTGCACACAGAGTGAGTCCATGCAACTTTTTACTCCTGAACTTTTTTAGGCTTGCCGTAACAAAGGAGTTGAATAGTTATTGACTCAAGACATTTAAGCATTTCATTTTGTATTCAAAATTGTAAAGCATTATTCCCCTTTGACATTATGGGGTATTGTGTGAAGGCCGGTGACAAAAAAAAAATCTCTATTTAATCCATTTTAAATTCAGGCTGTAACACAACAAAATGTGGAAAAGGTCAAGGGGTGTGAATGCTTTCTGAAGGCACTGTACATAATATAAACAAAAAGTGGTAAGGCATTTATTTCAGTAGATTCAACCAGGGTCCCATTTTGATGTAACACAACTATAAAAAAATTGAATCACTGGTCTTGACTTACAATTTACCAACAGCCCCTGACCAGTATAGAAAGATCCCCAGATTATTTTGCCAATCCCAATATAGATGAGAAGTCTAATAAGACACAAGCATTTAACCCTTAAAACATGTTACTTGGAGTTACCGTTAAGTATGTTTATGGATATGTCTTATTGCTCCCAAGAGGGTGACATTTCTCTGTGTCAAATGATATGTTTCCCGCCATCCTTCAGGCTATATGTGAAAGGATAGCTGCCATCTGACTACGTTTCAAATGTTGGCAGGGGCTGATATTTGACCCCTGTTGCTTTGCCCTTGTAGAGGATCACTCCGCACACCATGGCAATGGATGCTAGGAAACATCCAGCCATGAATACCATGTTCATGTTGGTCACTGAAAAGACAAGAAAACAAGTCAACACTTTTTTCACCAAAACACACCAAAACACCTTCCCATCCAGAGATGTATCTTGAGGACTTGACTGCAGAGGTCCTTTATAAATCATGGATAAGAACTGTTGTAACTTCAACAACTCAAAGTACAACATTTAATTTTGTGCTTGTCCTGAGCTAGTTACCCTCAGGGTTAGTGTTACCTGAGCTCTCGGACGTCTTTATCAGGCGCAAAGGACCCTGGGAGATGTGGTGCCTGGTCGATTGCATGGGGGCATCTCTCTTGCGGTGGTGGTGATCAGCAGACTGGGGTGAGGTGGAGTTCATGCACCCCTGGGCGCACCGGGTGTTGGGGTTCCCAGCCTCACACACAATCACTGAACAGCTGATGTACACCTACAGCCAGAGAGATCAAAAGTCACTGAACTGAGATGATATCACCCTGCCGATGTGCCCTTGAGCAAGGCACCTAACCCTAAATGCTCCTGTAAGTTTTCAATAATACTCTAACATTACTGTTACAAGTGCCATTATGACATTGATGGATGGATGGATGCCTTTGTGTTCTGAGTCTCACCCGTTTTCTATGATGGGGTAGGTGTGGTGGTAGTTGGGGTTGTCGTACGGCGCTGCTCTGCAGGACTCCACGAAGAGCTCAGTGTTTACAGTGGTTGTGGCCTCGATGTCCATGTAGATCATCTGCTTCACCACAACGTCTAACGGGTAGTTACGGGGATCCACAATACTGGTAAACTCGCTCGTCTGGTAGAACTCAAACTGGTAGGTGAACGTGCCGAAACCTTTCTCCAGGACCGTGATGCTCTCCCTGTGTGCGCTGAAGCCCAGGCTCACGTTGCCACGTTTGGCATACTGGCAGTAGAACTGGATCTCCACCTGGTGGTGCCTGGTGATGATGTCATTGGGGTTGTCAAAGGTGGTGATTTCGTTCTTGAAGAGGAGGTTGTCGTCATCCTCCTGGATTGAGAGAAATGGAGAGGGAAATAATCTAGACAGCTACATTTGTGGGCACTGCCAGCACTGAACTCTTAAAAACACCAAAATGTAGATCGTTCCTATATTGCTGTGTAACTCTTGGGGTTATGAGCAAGCATGTTGGTGTTTGTTTTGATGTTTCTCACAGGGGAGCATAAGCCACCACTCACCAAAACCCTACATCTTAACCCTTTCTATGATGCAACCCATTCTAAATCAGTCAGCCTAATTCATCCCTTGGGGTGAATATGCCCTCAGACCAGGTACAATATGAATAACATAGACAAACACCCAGGAGTGAATGGGTCTCACACCCAAAGAGATATCCACATATCATCACACTATAATATTTGACATTTCAGAGGTCTCACCTCTAACTGAGTCCCACAGGCATTGAGGGGGATGACTCCGATGATGTGGGTGCTGTTGGAGAGGCGTTGCAGGTCGCAGGCAGAGTTACTGGGATCACTGAGGCGGAGATGGCCCTCATTTACTCCCGGGATAGAGGACTTCTCCACTTCCACTGTCATCGTAGTCTCTTGGCAAACCACTTTGGCTTTGACTGTCACAGGTGAATGTGGAGATATCTTGTTATTGTAAAATATATCAGTCTTATTGAAAACAATGTGATTAAAAACCAATGGTGGAAAAAGTACCCAACTGTCATACTTGAGTAAAAAGTAAAGATACCTTAATAGAAAATGACTCAAGTAAAAGTGAAAGTCACCCAGTAAAATACCACTTGAGTAAAAGTCTAAAAGTATTTGGTTTTATGTATACTTAATTATCAAAAGTAAAAGTATTAATAATTTCAAATTCCTTATATTAAGCAAACCAGATGGCCCAATGTTCTTGTTTTTTTATTTACGGATAGCCAGGTGCACACTCCAACACTCAGACATAATTTACAAACTAAGTGTTTGTGGTTAGTGAGCCTGCCAGATTAGAGGCAGTAGGGATGACCAGGGATGTTCTCTTGATAAGTGTGTGAATTCGTGCTAAGCGTTCTAAATGTAACGAGTACTTTTGTGTGTCAGGGAAAATGTATGGAGTAAAAAGTACATTATTTTCTTTAGGAATGTAGTGAAGTAAAACTAAAAGTTGTAAAAATATATAAATAGTAAAGTACAGATACCCACAAAAAACGACTCAAGCAGTACTGTATACTTAAGTACTTTACACCACTGTTGAAAACTGATGGGCACTATCTGGAAAGTTGATATCAATATCAGTTGCATTTTTACTGATATTATTTCGATAAATATCAAAACTACTAGGTATTTATATTCACAGGTTTATACATTATCAACGTGCACATTCACACAGCAACATATCATTCATGATCATAGAAGAATCTATACCAACCATGTGTGCGTCCGACCTCCACCAGGACACATCTCATCTCAGATTGATAGATGCTAGATCTGAAATGATTTAAGCAGGGGTGAAAGTAGATGAAATTTCATGCTGGTACAGGGACCTCCTATGTTTGCACACGCTTTTTTATATATATTTTTTGATGGGCCTAATCATAAAATTACATAGGCCTATAGAATCCGTATTAATTTAATAGGATCTCTATGGGCCTAATAGTAAAGATGTGTTGTTTAATTTGTACAATGTATTAGCCTTAATGTGGCATAAACACAACCAGTCATGATGTTTTCATCTGATTGTCAAACAATTATGCTACTTCAAAAGGCTCACATAGGCTACCTGCGCACGTTACTCAGGGACGGAGGAAAGACGGGGTGCGATTATTCAATTTTTTTAAGCCTCATTTAGATATTTTTCTGCTTATAATTACCGACATTTCACTGAAAGAAATGGCACGTTAGCATAGCTGTAGGAAGTAGGGGTGCTGAGGATGCTGCAGCACACCCTGATAAATCAGAATAAAAAATATATGTGACTGACAACAAGCCTTTCTCACAAAAGTAGTGCACCTGGGCCTTTACTAGTCATGCATTAGAAGACCGATATAGCCGTCTGTCACAGGGAAACATTTTGTTTTTATGGGACTGACATGCGGTAATGATAAATGGTGTAATAGCCTACCAGGGGCAGGCTGAAACACATTTTTTAGTAAGAGGTATGTTAAATAGACTACTGAGGTATTCAAGAACATTCAAGATGTCCAAGCAGGAATGTATGATTCAATATATTTTGATGTGCAACCTAATCCAGTGATTGTCATGAATTTTGGGTTGACTATTAGACTATAGATTATTTTAATTTTGTTTTAATATAGATGAATTACATACATCTTTATGTGCACTAACTTATATGCAGGCTGGTCACTAGAAATAGACGCCGATTTCGGACGTTTGAAAAGGTCCTGAGAACATCAATATAGGCCTTCCTCGGCACTCACACAGAAAAACAATCACCCAGCACTGGACGCGAACTCATGAGGCTCAGAGTTGGAGTGCGCTGTTTAGACCTCTACGTGACGGCAGTTCACAATGCTCTAGCAAGCCGTGAGAATACTGATGATACCTAGCACGTCATTTTTTAAAAATTATTTTGTTTTAAGCCTTCTCCTTAACCACTCGGAATTAATGCGTCAAAAATAGACGTTAATCCATAATACATCGAATTTCGCAGGGAAACTATGAGATCTTGTTGCTAATATCATAGGCAAATTAATTTGGGGTTCAACACCTGAGGAAGTGGAAACTCAAAATACATTAACTAGATAGCTAACGTTAAATATAATACCCACTGCTAGTAGCCATGTATTCATACAACAGTACATTGAATGTCCTAAAAAATATTTACAGTTGTAGCCTACTACCATGAGACCTATAGGCCTATGCCCTTACAATGTCCGGTGCTTATTAAGCATGCGCGTCGCCCCATATCGCAAAGCCATATTAAATATATTGGTTGTAAAACAAGTTTCTATTGAGTTGAATATTGAGAGTTGAGATTATTTTTTTAATAACTACAGCAAGATGAGAGCCTCCTCTCTTCAGCAGGGACAAGCGGACAAAGCTTGCAATGCTGTGTTTTTCCCGCAATTGCATTTTGAAATGTTATATGATCAGAACGCATTTCTCTCGAGCGCATGGGTGGAGAGGATACTGGCTCGCTCATCACAGCAGCAGGCCCCATCGATGGCACAGGCACCGGGGCAGGGCAGACACAGTCATTACAGGAATCATGAGGATAATGCACTTTACTGTTATACCAAATCATGGTTTTAGCCGCCTCAAATAATAAGACGTTTGAGTGAGGTGAAAATGATTTTTAAGATCCATGATCTTCTACCTGGACTCAGGGGTAGACGTAACATAGTAAACATACATCCGGGACACTCCAATTAGTATGATGAGTTACATTTCGTATGGTATGTATGCATTTGTGGATGTACAAATTATACAATGGGTGGGTCTAATCCTGGATGCCGATTGGTTAAAACTGCTTTCCAGCCAGTGTTTTTTCCACAAGTTATTACCGGCAAAATCTATGACATTGAAATGCCTATTTACTCTTTTCCATCTGACTGCGCAATCCACTGTCTCATCAGCTCAGCCAGGCAATATATACAGTTGAAGTCGGAAGTTTACATACAGCTTAGCCAAATACATACATACTCTGTTTTTCACAATTCCTGACATTTAATTCCAGTAAAAATTCCCTGTCTTGGGTCAGTTAGGATCACCACTTTATTTTAAGAATGTGAAATGTCAGAATAATAGTAGAGAGAATGATTTATTTCAGCTTTTATTTATTTCATCACATTCCCAGTGGGACAGAAGTTTACATACACTCAATTAGTATTTGGTTGCATTGCCTTTAAATTGTTTAACTTGGGTCAAACGTGTCGGGTAGCCTTCCACAAGCTTCCCACAATAAGTTGGGTGAATTTTGGGCCATTCCTCATTTACATTTACATTTACGTCATTTAGCAGACGCTCTTATCCAGAGCGACTTACAAATAGGTGCATTCACCTTATAGCCAGTGGGATCACCACTTTACAATGTTACATTACGATGGGCATAATGGCCAAACAGTTCTATTTCATCAGACCAGAGGACATTTCTCCAAAAAGTACGATCTTTGTCCCCATGTGCAGTTGCACACCGTAGTCTGGCTGTTTTATGGCGGTTTTGGAGCAGTGGCTTCTTCCTTGCTGAGCGGCCTTTCAGGTTATGTCGATATAGGACTATTTTTACTGTGGATATAGACACTTTTGTACCTGTTTCCTCCAGCATCTTCACAAGGTCCTTTGCTGTTGTTCTGGGATTGATTTGCACTTTTCTCACCAAAGAACGTTCATCTCTAGGAGACAGAACGCGTCTCCTTCCTGAGCGGTATGACGGCTGCGTGGTCCCATGGTGTTTATACTTGCGTACTATTGTTTGTACAGATGAACGTGGTACCTTCAGGCGTTTGGAAATTGCTCCCAAGGATGAACCAGACTTGTGGAGGTCTACAATTTATTTTCTGAGGTCTTGGCTGATTTCTTTTGATTTTCCCATGATGTCAAGCAAAGAGGCAATGAGTTTGAAGGTAGGCCTTGAAATACATCCACAGGTACACCTCCAATTGACTAAAATGATGTCAATTAGCTGATCAGAAGCTTCGAAAGCCATCACATCATTTTTTGAAATTTTCCAAGCTGTTTAAAAGGCCCAGTCAACTTAATGTATGTAAACTTCTGACCCACTGGAATTGTGATACAGTGAATTATAAGTGAAATAATCTGTCTGTAAACAATTGTTGGAAAAATGACTTGTGTCATGCACAAAGTAGATGAACGAAACTGACTTGCCAAAACTATAGTTTGTTAACAAGAAATTTGTGGAGTGTTTGAAAAACGAGTTTTAATGACTCCAACCTAAGTGTATGTAAACTTCCGACTTCAACTGTATACTAGATCTACCCTGTAAAAAGCATCTAGACATTATCTCCCATTTCTTTTAGACTAGCATTTGTTTTCAACAGCAGAGATTTGTAATAACCTTGCTGTCTCGCCAACATTTGCAACATTGTTTCAATATTGGAATTCAATCTCCAGCTGTCCTATGGCAATGATCGTGTCGGGAGTCGGGACGAGACAGACAGGCTGGCAGCTTTTTTCAACCAGTCGATATCACGAATCAGCATATCAAGACTATATCTCGTGGAAGGATGAATTAGTATGAATAAACTCATGTCAAACTTTCTTTTGATATTATTTGAATATGTTGGTAACCTGTTGTATAAAAGTGATAATGCCTGAGAATCTGGTGTTTGGAGGATATATTGGCATAGTTTACAAGCCCTCAACTTCGTCTCGGGCCTAACAACACCCGTGCCAATATATCCTCCAAAGACCGGTTTCTCTGGCATTATCACTTAATTACATTTGTATGATATTTTATGAATTGCAATTCGTACCATATGTTACGAATTCGCAAAACGTATGATATGTTATGAATAACAATTTGTTGTGGCTAACGTTAGCTAGGTGGTTAAGGCTAATGTTAGCTAGGTGGCTAACGTTAGCTAGGCTAAGGGTTAGGGGTTAAGGTTAGAGTTAAGGCTAGGATTTAGGTTAAAGGGGAAGGGTTGGCGAACATGCTAAGTAGTTTCAAAGTAGCTAAAAAGTTGTAGGTAGTTGCAAAGTTGCTAATTACCAAAATGCCTGTGATGAGATTCGAACAAGAAACCTTTGGGGTGCTAGACGTTTGCGTTATATGCCTACCCATCCACCCCGACCAACCACCCTACTTTCGTTTTTGCCTTAAGTAACCTTCTGTCTTATATAACCATACCAAACATAACATATTATACAAATTTGAGTGTCCCGGATTTACTTTTACTACGTTACGTCTAGTCTGAGACCAGGTTATGATCTTGGCTGTCTGACTGATGACAGAGACAGAGCAGGTCTCTTTGCTGATGCCGGTAATAACTTGCAGAAAACCATCCGGCCATTACCCACTGATCAGCCAATGGCTCATTATAGATTAGTATAACAGAGAAATCTCGGGGGGAAAAAACTCTTGGCCGCCGGCCATGTCACCTTTTTTATTGTTACATTTTTATATGCAAATATTTTTGGTGTGTGTTAATTTCGACCAGCCCACCCAACTAAAACATTTGCTACAATCACCAGATGGCCAATCCACCCCTGTAGCCTACAGTTCTTGGAATTTATGTTTTAACTAATTGTGATAGATTTATGTTTTCCGGTATGGCGTATCCCCACTATTTATTTAGCTGGTACCGGACATTTCCGGCTTACCAATAGATTTAAGATCAGGGTAAACAACAGCACATTGTACTATCTGTGTTGTTAAACATCTACATCTAATAATAACATCTTTCAGTCAGGTGGATTGGGAGATAAAATTTGATTCAAAAACAGAGATTAAGCTCCAGAGGAAAGTACCGGAAAGTAGCAGAAATTAGAAGAAAGTTTCAAAGCACCAGAGCAGTTCTGGTTATGATGCTACAACATGAAACATGATTAGATGCCATGAGACCCACCCGTCTGCTCCTTCAGCAATGAAGCAAATGGGGAAATGCTCTCCCAGATCTTCCTGAATGGGTGTCCACCGAATGACAAACTCCCCTTGGGTGGTCATGTGATTGGTGATGTTCTGAGGTCCACTGATGATGACATCAGTAATCCTAGCAAGGGCGCAAAACAGACAATCGCACAAATCCAAATCAGAGATATCAGTAGGAAGGTAGGATTTTTGGTGATCTTATACAGTAAACAATACAGTAGGCTGCCTTAGGCCAGATACACTATATATACAAAAGTATGTGGACACCCCTTCAAATTAGTGGATTCGGCTATTTCAGCCACACCCGATACTGACAGGTGTATAAAATCGAGCACACGGCAATGCAATCTCCATAGAAAAACATTGGCAGTAGAATGGCCTTACTGAAGAGCTCAGTGACTTTCAACGTGGCACCGTCATACGAAGCAACCTTTCCAACAAGTCAGTATGTCAACATTTCTGCCCTTCTAGAGCTGCCCCGGTCAACTATAAGTGCTGTTATTGTGAAGTGGAAATGTCTAGGAGCAACAATGGCTCAGCCGCAAAGTGGTAGGCCACACAAGCTCACAGAATGGGACCGCCGAGTGCTGAAGTGCGTAGCACGTAAAAATTGTCTGTCCTCGTTTGCAACACTCACTACCGATTTCCAAACTGCCTCTGGAAGCAACGTCAGCACAATAACTGTTCGTCAGAAGCTTCATGAAATGGGTTTCCATGGCCGAGCAGCCGCACACAAGCCTAAGATCACCATGCGCAATGCCAAGCGTTGGCTAGAGTGGTGTAAAGCCTGCCGCCGTTGGACTCTGGAGCAGTGGAAACGCCTTCTCTGAAGGGATGAATCATGCTTCACCATCTGGCAGTCTGACAGACAAATATGGTTTTGGCGGATGACAGGAGAACGCTACCTGCCCCAATGCATAGTGCCAACTGTAAAGTTTGGTGGAGGAGGAATAATGGTCTGGGGCTGTTTTTCATGGTTCGGGCTAGGCCCCTTAGTTCCAATGAAGGGAAATCTTAACGCTGCAGCATACAATTATATTCTAGATGATTCTGTGCTCCCAACTTTGTGGCAACAGTTTGGGGAAGGCCCTTTCCTGTTTCAGCATGACAATGCCTCCGTGCACAAAGCGAGGTCCATACAGAAATGGTTTGTCGAGATCGGTGTGGAAGAACTTGACTGGCCTGCACTGAGCCCTGACCTCAAGCCCATCGAACACCTTTGGGATGAATTGGAACGCCGACTGCGAGCCATGCCTAAACGCCCAACATCAGTGCCCGACCTCACTAATAATCTTGTGGCTGAATAGAAGCAAGTCTACACAGCAATGTTCCAACACCTAGTGGAAAGCCTCCCCAGAAGAGTGGAGGCTTTTATAGCAGCAAAGGGGGGGACCAACTCCATATTAATGCCCATGATTTTGGAATGAGATGTTCGACGAGCATGTGTCCACATACCTTTGGTCATGTAGTATACTTGATTGCAGAATATTTAAATTACTGAAATAGTTACAAAGTGCTATATTGGTACAGTTTACTTATAGCATGCACTGTTTTGCAGCATGTGTAAATGACATAAAGCTGCTTGCTTAGCGAGTACCACCTCCTCATGATTCAGCTCACAATGAGGCTCAGACCCAGGACCTCTTCCTTGCTAGCACACGTGACTCCTGAAGAGTCTCACCAGTCAGTGTCACTGAAAAGTTTACAATTCGGCGACACAAGTGACGAGCTGAGGAGTACGTTTCACACATTCCCACGTGCTACACATACACCGTAGAAATACAATCATGGATGTAATATTGTATTACATACTTCATGGATATTGTCCCTTACGTTGAGTGTGTAGCCTGTGCCTTGACCCTGATCTCCAGCTCCTTGTTGACCTCGGCATTAAGATGCTCTCCATTGCGTGGTGTCGGCTGCAGAAACATGGGCAAGTACATTCCCTCATTGCAAGAGGGTGCAGGAGAGTCCACTAAATTGGAAAAGAATACAAACGTACACAAGTAAATGTCATGTAAAATACTGTCCATAAAATGTATATAGGTTCAGAACGTTTGTGAAACAACACAGCTGAAAAATATATGGCAAATAGAAATCAAAAGTGGATGGTCTTCAGAGATAGATGGGAGGGGTTGAGGATAGTTGAAGGATGGGACTAAAAACAAACAAAAGATAATTTTGTAAAATATACTGTTTCCGTAAAATGTACATCATTTAGTATGCATAAACTGGAAGTAATTTATTCCAATTAGGGGAGGGGTGTTAGGGTTAGGGGAAAATAATAAAAGAAAATATATTTAAAAATATATATATACACACAGTACCAATCAAAAGTTTGGACATACCTACTCATTCCAGGGTTTTTCTTTATTTTTACTATTGTCTATATTGTAGAATAATAGTGAAGACATCAAAACTATGAAATAACACATATGGAATCATATAGTAACCAAATCAAAATATGTTATATTTGAGATTCTTCAAATAGCCACCCTTTGCCTTGATGACAGCTTTGCACACTCTTGGCATGCTCTCAACCAGCTTCATGAGGTAGTCACCTGGAATGCATTTCAATTAACAGGTGTACCTTCTTAAAAGTTAATTTGTGGAATTCCATTCCTTCTTAATGCGTTTGAGCCAATCAGTTGTGTTGTGACAAGGTAGGGGAGGTATACAGAAGATAGCCCTATTTTGTGAAAGACCAAGTCCATATTATGGCAAGAACAGCTCAAATAAGCAAAGAGAAACGACAGTCCAAGACATGAAGGTCAGTCAGTACCGAAAATTTCAAAAACTTTTCAAGTTTCTTCAAGTGCAGTCGCAAAACCATCAAGCGCTAAGATGAAACTGGCTCTCATGAGGACCGCCACAGGAATGGAAGACCCAGAGTTACCTCTGCTGCAGAGGATAAGTTCATTAGAGTTACCAGCCTCAGAAATTGCAGCCCAAATAAATGCTTCACAGAGTTCAAGTAACAGACACATCTCAACATCAACTGTTCAGAGGAGACTGTATGAATCAGGCCTTCATGGTCAAATTGCTGCAAAGCAACCACTACTAAAGGACACCAATGATAAGAAGAGACTTGCTTAGGCCAAGAAACACGAGCAATGGACATTAGACCGGTGGAGATTTTTGGTTTTCCGCCGTGTCTTTGTGAGATGCGGTGTGGGTGAACCGATGATCTCCGCATGTGTATTTCCCACCGTAAAGCATGGAGGAGGAGGTGTTATGGTGTGGGGGTGCTTTCTGGTGACACTGTCTGTGATTTATTTAGGATTCAAAGCACACTTAACCAGCATGGCTACCACAGCATTCTGCAGCGATACGCCATCCCATCTGGTTTGGGCTTAGTGGGACTATCATTTGTTTTTCAACAGGACAATGACCCAACACACCTCCAGACTGTGTAAGAGCTATTTTACCAAGAAGGAGAGTGATGGAGTGCTGCATCAGATGACCTGGCCTCCACAATCCCCCGACCTCAACCCAATTGAGATGGTTTTGGATGAGTCGGACCGCAGAGGGAAGGAAAAGCAGCCAACGAGTGCTCAGCATATGTGGGAACTCCTTCAAGACTGTTGGAAAAGCATTCCAGGTGAAGCTGGTTGAGAGAATGCCAAGAGTTTGCAAAGTTGTCATCAAGGCAAAGGGTGGCTATTTGAAGAATCTCAAATATAAAATTTTTGGTTACCACATGATTCCATATGTGTTATTTCATAGTTTGTCTTCATTATTATTTTACAAAGTATTTTTTTTTGTAAAAATAAAGAAATGAATGAGTAGCTGTGTCCAAACCTTTGACTGGTAGTGTATATATATTTACCCAAAAATATATGGGGGATTGGAAATGATGCAGACAATTATATTGATAGAATCCACAATCTACTGTATCTGCAATATTAAAGCTGATCTACCCCCTGAATCTTTTCAAATAATAATAATAAGTTAATGTCATGCTTGTTGTAAAATAAATATTTCCATCCATCCCTCTCTTCCTCCCTCCCTTCATCCATCCAATGCATTCTCAACCACCGGAAGAGGAGTCACTTTCTTACCCAGAAATGAGAATTGTAGAGGGAGTTTGCTGAGGGGAGCAGTGGAGGAATACAGGCTTCCTGGGGGGGAGGTGGGACTCCATGGTCTGGCTGTTGTGGGCTGGCGGGTGGTAGTGGTTAGCCAGGGGGTGGGGGTGGTGGTAGTGGGAGTGGTGGTGGTGGGCCGGGTGGTGGTTGGCCAGGGGGTGTTGGTAGTGGGAGTGGTGTTGGGCCTGGTGGTGGTTGGCCAGGGAGTGGTGGTGGTGGGCCGGGTGGTGGTGGTGGTGGTAGTGGGCCGGGTGGTGGTTGGCCAGGGGGTGGTGGTGGTGGGAGTGGTGGTGGGCCGGGTGGTGGTTGGCCAGGGGGTGGTGGGAGTGGTGGTGGTGGTGGGGTGGTCGGACCGCAGAGGGAAGGAAAAGCAGCCAACGAGTGCTCAGCATATGTGGGAACTGTGGTGGTGGTGGTCCGGGTGGTGGTTGGCCAGGGGGTGGTGGTGGGCCGGGTGTTGGTTGTCCAGGGGGTGATGGCAGTGGGAGTGGTGGTTGTGGTGGTGGTGGGAGTGGTGGTGGGCCAGGTGGTGGTTGGCCAGGGGGTGGTAGTGGTGGGCCGGGTGGTGGTGGTGGTTGTGGTGGTGGTGGTTGTTGGCCGGGTGGTGGTGATGGTGGTGGTGGTTGGCCGTGTTGTAGTGGTGGTGGTGGGCCGGGTTGTAGTGGTGGTGGTGGTGGTGGTGGTGGGCGTGGTGGTTGTTGGCCGGGTTGTAGTGGTGGTGGTGGGCCGGATTGTAGTAGTGGTGGTGGTGGGCTGGGTGGTGGTGTTGGTTGGCTGGTAGATGATAGCACGTCGATGTCTTCCTGCATAGAACGGAGCCCTGGAGGACCTAGAGCCATCAGTGTAAGACAGGGTGATGTGTTGGTTGGGGAAGTCCTCCACAACTAGCTCAAACCCATAGACACCTGCCATTGAGGTGTTGCCGTATTGTAAAGTGCAAGAGCCCTATAGACCGAAGAAGTTATAACATAAATGTTTCAGATGGTTGACCCTTAAGACATAATACTTCACAAATAGATTCAATGCAAATTAGTTGTGGTTGGTCTCACATTGACAGGTCAGCACAGCCCAAGACGTTGCAAACACTAACCTCATCCATGGAGAAGCCTGAGGGCTGGGTACACATATCACACTCAGTGTCTCTGGCCACTCCATATCTGCATCTGACACGGTCACCATCAGGGTCAAAGGCCATGAGGTTGTAGGACCTCTGACAGTTCTGGGGAACACTACAATAACATTGAAAACAGTCAGATATACAGCATATGAATTAGGTAGAATCTAAACTAACAAAACATCCAAGTGAGTTAGGAAAGTAACCTAAGCAAATGAACTAAAATAATGTATATTTTCTAAATAATTCTGCATTATTCAGAAGTATAACAATCATGGAGCAACCTGATTAGATGAGGTTAGTGGTTTCTGAAGTCATCGAAGAGGTATTTGGAGTAAGAATGTTGTTAGTTACCGTATGAAAGGAAGAACGCCTGTGACTGGAGATCTGTTGGGTCCACCCGTATCAGATCTTGTTCCCAGATCCACCTGTGTCAGTAGTCTCCAACTTCCCATGCTGTTTACTGTGCTTATCCAACAGCAGCTGTCCTGACTGTTACATTGACAAACACATAACATCATTAAAAGGGACATTGCCAAATTTGTTTAATCTTTAATACTACAAACTCGCAAATGAATGACTAACTAACCTCAATTGAAAAGGTCTATCACTGGGGACATTTCTGGTCATGACAGTTTCCTGTTCACACCAGGTGTTCCTCCAACTCCTCCCATTGGTGCTGCTGTCAATTGGGACTCTCAAATTTCTGGTTGAATACCTGCAGTTCCCTGAGTAACAGCTATAGGTATCGTAGTACTCACAACCATCAAGGGTGTTCTTGTAGCGAAAGTCCACCTGGGGAACAGAAAAGTAAATGTAATGTGACAATGAAACGTGGCAGAATTAAATCAATTGCATTATGGCTTCTTTCAGAATATATTTTGATTTGCATAGCAAAAACAAAATATACATTTTTTTGTCACATACACCATTTAGGTGCAGTGAAATGTGCTGTCTTACAGGGTCAGCCATAGTAATATGCCGCCCCTGGAGCAAATTAGGTTTAAGTGCCTTGCTCAAGGGCACATCGGCAGATTTTTCACCTTGTCGGTTTTCACCTTAGCAGCATGTCCTGGATGGGGGAGTTGACATTTGATTTAGAAACACCACCCTGGATTATTGACCTCTGCCTGCCCTGACCCTGAGACTGCCTGCCGTTCTGTACCGTTTGGGCTCGGACCTGGATTACTGACCTCTGCCTGCCCTTGACCTGTTGTTTGCCTGCCCCCTGTGTTTGTAATAAACTTTTGTTACTTCGACACTGTCTGCATCTGGGTCTTCTCCTGAAATGTAAAAGTACGAACTGGCCATGACGTACCTCATCACGCTGATGTCCGGGAGGGCTCTCGCCTGGGCTACGGCAGTGTGGGAACAACAGTCTGCCATATGCTTCAGTCTGGAGGAGTTCATGCAGGAGGTAACAAAGGTTTTCGATGCTCCATTGTCCGGGAGAGAGGCTGCCCGGAAGTTACTGCAGCTTCGGCAAGAGTCCTGCTGTGTGGCAGACTATGCAGTGGATTTCCGCATGTTGGCAGTGGAGTGTGTCTGGAACCCGGAAGCACTGTTTGACACGTTCCTGCACGGAGTATCGGAGGAAGTAAAGGACGAGCTTGCATCCCGGGAACTTCCCACGGATCTCGACTCGCTCATCGCCTTGACCATTCGGATCGATGGGCGACTACGGGAACGTAGGAAGGAGATGAAGTCCGATTCCACCTCACCTCCGAGGCATCCCGGAAGTTCTCTCGGCAACGGAGCCGACGGAGACCCGAGGCTACTCAAATTCCCCGAGAGTCTCCGAAGTCTGCCGATCCACCTCTTCTCGAGCCGATGCAACTAGGCAAAGCTAGGCTGTCTCCAACCGAACTGCAATACAGGCTTCACACGAAGAGTTGCCTGTATTGCGGAACTACTGGTCATTTTGTATCCACCTGTCCACTAGAAGACCAGGCTCACCGGTAGGAGCGAGTACTTTGGTGGGCCATACAGATAACATTTCCTCTCCCCTTACTCGCACCCCTTTTCATGCCATCTTGCTGTGGGGGAACCAGTCGAAATCTCTCCGGGTACTTTTTTATATATTTTTATTTCACCTTTATTTAACCAGGTAGGCCTGTTGAGAACAAGTTCTCATTTACAACTGCGACCTGGCCAAGATAAAGCAAAGCAGTGCGGTAAAAACAACATCACATAGTTACACATGGGATAAACAAAACATACAGTCAATAACACAATAGAAAATCTATATACAGTGTGTGCAAATGTAGTAAGTTATGGAGGTAAGGCAATAAATAGGCCATAGTGCAAAATAATTACAATTTAGTATTAATACTGGAGGGATAGATGTGCAGAAGATGATGTGCAAATAGAGATACTGGGGTGCAAATGAGCAAAATAAATAACAATGTAAATAACAATATGGGGATGAGGTAGTTGGGTGGGCTAGTTACAGATGGGCTGTGTACAGGTGCAGTGATCGGTAAGCTGCTCTGACAACTGATGCTTAAAGTTTGTACTCATCGTCTCTGGGGCCGATGAGAGCTTTATGGACAATACCCTGGCCTCCGAGCTGGGCATCCCCACTCATCCCCTCTCCATTCCCATGGACGTTAGAGCGCTGGACAGGTGCTCTATAGGCCGGTTCACTCACAATACCACCCACAGCAAAGCCCTGCGCCCGTGCATCGACTACCAGGGCCTCAACGACATCATGGTGAAGAACCGCTACCCGCTACCACTCAACTCCTCGGCCTTCGAGCCGCTCCAGGGGGGCAACGAGTTTTCCAAGCTGGACCTACGGAACGCCTACCACCTGGTACGGATACGGGAGGGGGACGAGTGGAAGACTGCCTTCAACACGGCCAGTGGTCACCACGAGTATCTGGTCATGCCATTTGGCCTTACCAATGCTCCAGCTGTGTTCCAGACCCTTGTTAATGATGTTCTCTGCGACATGTTGAACCGGTTCATCTTCGTGTACCTCGACGACATCCTCGTCTTCTCCCGCTCCGCCCAAGAACACGTGCTCCATGTCCGACAGGTCCTACAACGCCTCCTGGAGAACCAGGTTTTTGTGAAAGCGGAGAAATGCAAATTCCATCGCTTCGCCATCCCCTTCCTGGGCTACATCATTGCAGCAGGGAGTGTACAGATGGATCCCGGGAAGGTGATAGCGGTGGTGGATTGGCCCCAGCCTACGTCCAGAGTGCAGCTGCAACGTTTCCTTGGATTCGCCAACTTTTATCGCCGCTTTATCCTGGGTTACAGCACGCTGGCTTCCCCGTGTCTGCACTCACCTCTTCCAAGGTTCAGTTCACATGGTCCCCAGCTGCTGACCGGGCGTTCCGGGACCTCAAACACCATTTCACCACTGCTCCCATCTTGGTTCATCCTGACCCATCCCGCCAGTTTGTGGTGGAGGCCGATGCTTTGGATGTTGGAGTGGAGGGCGGTCCTGTCCCAGCGTTCGGCCCTGGACCTCAAGTTACATCCCTGCGCCTTCTTCTCCCATCGCCTCAACACCACGGAGAGGAATTATGATGTGGGAAAATGTGAGCTTCTCGCGGTGAAGAAGGCGTTGGGAGGTGAAGGCACTGGCTGGAGGGGGCGGAACATCCGTTCATTGTGTGGACAGACCACAAGAACTTGGAATATCTCCGCACCGCCAAGCGTCTCAATTCCAGGCAAGCTAGGTGGGCCCTGTTTTTCACCCGGTTCAACTTCTCCCTCTCATACCAACCGGGATCCAAGAATGTCAAGCCAGATGCGCTGTCACGCCGCTATAGCCCCACGGCTACACCCCCAGAATCCGAGCCCATCCTTCCCACCTCGTGCTTGGCGATGGCACTCAGTTGGGGAATAGAGAAGCAGGTCCGGGAGGCACAGTGTTCCCAGCCGAACCCCGGGGGGGCCCAGATAACCAGATGTTTGTTCCTGACGCTGTCCTCTCCTTGGTCCTGGAGTGGGCCCACTTCCTCCAGGCTTGCCTGCCATCCGGGCTCCCGTCGGACCCTGGCCTTTGTGCGACAACGCTTTTGGTGGCCTACCATGGTTCCTGACATCTCTGCGTTCGTCGCCACCTGCACGATCTATGCACAGAACAAAACTCCTCGGCAAGCTCTGGCTGGTCTCCTCCAACCTCTGCCTGTTCCTCACCGTCCCTGGTCTCACAGCCCTTTGTCTCCTGTTTCCAGGCCTACCCCTCTCCCCAGTCTCATCGACGGCCAACCGGCGTGCATGGCGAGGCGTCTTCTGAAGGTTCGACCTCGGGGCAGGGGATTCCAGTACCTGGTTGAAGGGGAGGGTTATGGCCCGGAGGAACGGTGCTGGGGACATCCTGGACCCAGGCCTCATCGCTGAGTCTCAACACCGGCACCCTGGTTAACCAGGTATGCACCCAGGCAGGATGCCAGGTGGCGCCCCTAGGGGGGGGGGGGCAACTGTCACAACCTGATCTGTTTCACCTGTCTTTGTGATTGTCTCCACCCCCCTCCAGGTGTTGCCCATCTTCCCCATTTATCCCCAGTGTATTTATACCAGTGTTCTCTGTTTGTCTGTTGCCAGTTCGTTTTGTTTTCGTCAAGCCTACCAGCGTTTTTCCCCTTGCTTCTTTCTTTCTCAAGTTCCTGTTTTCCCGATTTTGACCATTCTGCCTGCCCTGAGCCTGCCTGCCGTTCTGTACCTTGTCACACCACCCTGGATTACTGACCTCTGCCTGCCCTTGACCTGTTGTTTGCCTGCCCCCTGTTTTTGTAATTAACTTTTGTTACTTCAACACTGTGTGCATCTGGGTCTTCTCCTGAAACGTGATAACCAGCATGAACATTTCTAAATCAGTGTCATATCCTTCCACTCAGGACATGCTGGGAAATTATCGGTCTGAGGAAAATAACAAAGGCATCAGACCTTTGCCAGAATAACTGTTTCTATCTCACCAATAATTCTTAAAAACACAGATGTACTACAAAGGGTGGTTATTTGAAGAATCTAAAATATATTTCGATTTGTTTAACACTTTTTTGGTTACTACATGATTCCATATGTGTTATTTCATAGTTCTGATGTCTTCACTATTATTCTATGATGTAGAAAATAGTAAAAATAAAGAAAAACCCTTGAATGAGTAGGTGTGTCACGCTCTGGTTCCGGGACGTTGTTATAGAACCAGGGTGTGTTTGTTTTGTTGGGTGTTGTGTGGGCTAGGTTGGGTATGAGGTGTGTTCGTTTTGTTGTGTGCTGTTTGGTTGGGGTGTCTAGGTGGTTGTCTTCCTTGTTTGTATTCATGTGACTCCCAATCGGAGGTAACGAGTGACAGCTGTCGGCTCGTTATCTCTGATTGGGAGCCATATTTAAACTGTGTGGTTTCACCTTGTGTTTGTGGGTTTTTGTTTCCTTGTGCTATGTTCAGTCGGTGTCATAGAGAACTTCACGTATCGTCTTTTGTTGTTTTTTCGTGGTTGCTTTGATAATAAAGTCATCATGTTCACTCACAACGCTGCGCATTGGTCTCCTCCTTCAGACGATCGTGACAGAAAAACCCACCATAAAAGGACCAAGCAGCGTAACAAGCGGCAACAGGACCTACCTACACAGGAGTTATGGACTCCTCCTAAGGATTCATGGACATGGGAGGAGATTTTGGATGGAAAGGGTCCTTGGGCACAACCGGGAGAATATCGCCGCCCTCGTGAAGAGCTGGAGGCAGCTGCAGCCGAGAGGAGGTGGTACGAGGAGGCAGCGCGGAGTCGAGGCTGGAAGCCCGTGGGTACTACCCAAGAATTTCTTGGGGGGGGGCAAAAAGGGAGTGTGGCGAAGTCAGGTAGGAGACCTGCGCCTACTCCCTGTACTTACCGTGGAGAGCGGGAGTACGGGCAGACACCATGTTACGCAGTAGAGCGCATGGTGTCTCCTGTACGCAGGCATAGCCCGGTGCGGTACATTCCAGCTCCTCGTATTGGCCGGGCTAGATTGAGCGTTGAGCCGGATGTCATGAAGCCGGTCCCACGCAGCAGGCCACCAGTGCGTCTCCTCGGGCCAGCATACATGGCACCAGCCTTACGCATGGTTTCCCCGGTTCGCCTACATAGCCCGGTGCGGGTTATTCCTCCTTCCCGTACTGGTCGGGCGACGGGGAGCATACAACCAGGTAAGGTTGGGCAGGCTCAGTGCTCAAGGGAGCCAGTACGCCTGCACGGTCCGGTATTTCCGGCGCCACCTTCCCGCTCCAGCCCAGTACCACCAGTGCCTCCACCACGCACCAAGCCTCCTGTGTGTCCCCAGAGTCCTGTGCGTCCTGTTGTTGCTCTCCGCACTAGCCCTGAGATGCGTGTCCTCAGCCCGGTACCTCCAGTTCCGGCACCACGCATCAGGCCTACGGTGCGTCCCAGGGCCAAGCATGCCCTGTTGCTTCTCCCCGCACTAGCCCTGAGATGCGTGTCCTCAGCCCGGTCCCTCCTGTTCCGGCACCACGCACCAGGCCTACGATGCGCCTCAGACGGCCAGAGTCTGCCGTCTGCCCAACGGGGCCTGAACTGTCCGTCTGCCCAACGCCGTCTGAACTGTCCGTATGCCAAGCGCTGCATGAACTGCCCGTCTGCCCAACGCCGTCTGAACTGTCCGTTTGCCAAGCACTGCCAGAACTGCCCGTCTGCCCAACGCCGTCCGAACTGTCCGTCTGCCAAGCACTGCATGAACTGCCCGTCTGCCCAACGCCGTCTGAACTGTCCGTCTGCCAAGCACTGCCTGAACTGCCCGTCTGCCCAACGCCGTCTGAACTGTCCGTATGCCAAGCGCTGCATGAACGGCCCGTATGTACTGAGCCTGCTAAGCCGCCCGTCTGCCATGAGCCTTCAGAGCCGTCCGCCAGACCAGAGCCGCTAAAGCCTTCCGCCAGACAGGAGCCGCTAAAGCCTTCCGCCAGACAGGATCAGCCAGAGCCTCCCGCCAGACAGGATCAGCCAGAGCCTTCCGCCAGACAGGATCAACCAGAGCCTTCCGCCAGACAGGATCAGCCAGAGCCTACCACCAGACAAGATCAGCCAGAGCCTTCCGCCAGACGGGATCAGCCAGAGCCTTCCGCCAGACAGGATCAGCCAGAGCCTCCCGCCAGACAGGATCAGCCAGAGCCTCCCGCCAGACAGGATCAGCCAGAGCCTTCCGCCAGACGGGATCAGCCAGAGCCTTCCGCCAGACAGGATCAGCCAGAGCCTACCACCAGACAAGATCAGCCAGAGCCTTCCGCCAGACGGGATCAGCCAGAGCCTTCCGCCAGACAGGATCAGCCAGAGCCTCCCGCCAGACAGGATCAGCCAGAGCCTCCCGCCAGACAGGATCAGCCAGAGCCTTCCGCCAGACGGGATCAGCCAGAGCCTTCCGCCAGATGGGATCAGCCAGAGCCTTCCGCCAGACGGCATCAGCCAGAGCCTTCCGCCAGACAGGATCAGCCAGGGTCTTCCGCCCGACAGGATCAGCCAGAGCCTTCCGCCAGACAGGATCAGCCAGAGCCTTCTGCCAGACAGGATCAGCCAGAGCCTTCTGCCAGACAGGATCAGCCAGAGCCTTCTGCCAGACAGGATCAGCCAGAGCCTTCCGCCAGACAGGATCAGCCAGAGCCTTCTGCCAGACAGGTGCAGCCAGATCCGTCAGCTAGCCATGAGCAGCCAGATCCGTCAGCTAGCCATGAGCAGCCAGGTCCGTCAGCCAGCCATGAGCAGCCAGATCCGTCAGCCAGCCATGAGCAGCCAGATCCGTCAGCCAGCCATGAGCAGCCAGATCCGTCAGCCAGCCATGAGCAGCCAGATCCGTCAGCCAGCCATGAGCAGCCAGATCCGTCAGCTAGCCATGAGCAGCCAGATCCGTCAGCCAGCCATGAGCAGCCAGATCCGTCAGCCAGCCATGAGCAGCCAGATCCGTCAGCTAGCCATGAGCAGCCAGATCCGTCAGCTAGCCATGAGCAGCCAGATCCGTCAGCCAGCCATGAGCAGCCAGATCCGTCAGCCAGCCATAAGCAGCCAGATCCGCCAGCTAGCCATGAGCAGCCAGATCCGTCAGCTAGCCATGAGCAGCCAGATCCGTCAGCCAGCCATGAGCCGTCCAGCCAGGATCCGCCAGAGCCGTCCAGCCGGGATCCGCCAGAGCCGTCCAGCCGGGATCCGCCAGAGCCGTCCAGCCGGGATCCGCCAGAGCCGTCCAGCCGGGATCCGCCAGAGCCGTCCAGCCGGGATCCGCCAGAGCCGTCCAGCCGGGATCCGCCAGAGCCGACCAGCCGGGATCCGCCAGAGCCGTCCAGCCGGGAGCCGCCAAAGCCGTCCAGCCAGTATCCGCCATTCTGTCCGGTACTGCCCCTTAGTCCGGTACTGCCCCTTAGCCTGGTACTGCCCCTTAGTCCGGTACTGCCCCTTAGTCCGGTACTGCCCCGTAGTCCGGTGCTGCCCCTTAGTCCGGTGCCGCCCCTTAACCCAGTGGGGTGTAGTTGGGGGGTGGTAATGTGGAGGAGGCTAGGGAAGCGGGTGGTGACTAAGGTGGGATGGGGACCACGACCAGGGGCAGAACCGCCACCGTGGACAGACGCCCACCCAGACCCTCCCCTAGACTGTATGCTGGTGCGCCCGGGGTTCGCACCTTTAGGGGGGGGGTACTGTCACGCTCTGGTTCCGGGACGTTGTTATAGAACCAGGGTGTGTTTGTTTTGTTGGGTGTTGTGTGGGCTAGGTTGGGTATGAGGTGTGTTCGTTTTGTTGTGTGCTGTTTGGTTGGGGTGTCTAGGTGGTTGTCTTCCTTGTTTGTATTCATGTGACTCCCAATCGGAGGTAACGAGTGACAGCTGTCGGCTCGTTATCTCTGATTGGGAGCCATATTTAAACTGTGTGGTTTCACCTTGTGTTTGTGGGTTTTTGTTTCCTTGTGCTATGTTCAGTCGGTGTCATAGAGAACTTCACGTATCGTCTTTTGTTGTTTTTTCGTGGTTGCTTTGATAATAAAGTCATCATGTTCACTCACAACGCTGCGCATTGGTCTCCTCCTTCAGACGATCGTGACAGGTGTGTCCAAACTTTTAACTGGTACTGTATGTAGATAAGGTTTCTGTTTTTTATTTTTAATACATTTGCAAAAATGTAAAAAACGAAACTGCTTTGTCATTGTGGGGTATTGGGCTGCTGAACCGTGTTTGCACTTGATTTTGTTTATAGATGAGAAAGTGAACTTGCCATTTCCAAAAAGTTTAGCGGGGATACTGCTTTGCGATCTATTGCCTCGGAGAGGGCTCTCCAACCCTGTTCGTGGAGCGCTATCATCCTGTAGGTTTTCACTCAAACCCTAATCTATCGGAACTGATTCAATAATTCGCTGGTTGATTAACTGAATCAGGTTAGCTACAACTGGGGTTGGAGCGAAAACCTACAGGAAGGTAGCTCTCCAGGAACAGGGTTGGAGAGCCTTGACCTAGGACATCAACAGCTAGCCAGGGTTTCATTAAATAAGCTATAGCCAATACTTTTTATTGCACATTTAGGCCTAATTAAACTGATGCATTTGGCGATGTTCAACTTCGATTCACTGGCACTATGAAGAATAGCTTAGCCATACTCATTGATAGCCTAACACATACTTGAATATACTTTTGGTGAATTTAAGAGGCATTGCTAGATACAGATTACCAAGATATAGCCTGTGCGCACGGTTCTGACTGTCTCTCTGCCTGCCTAAGGGCATAGCGGGATTTCTTATAAGCGTCCGGATTAGTGTCCCGCTCTTTGAAAGCAGTAGCTCTAGCCTTTAGCTCGGTGCGGATGTTGCCTGTAATCCATGGCTTCTGGTTGGGATATGTACGTACAGTCACTGTGGGGACGACGTCGTTGATGCACTTATTGATGAAGCCGGTGACTGAGGTGGTATACTCCTCAATGCCATTGGATGAATCCTGGAACATATTCCAGTCTGTTCTAGCAAAACTGTCCTGTAGCGTAGCATCCGCGTCATCTGACCACATCCGTATTGAGCGTTTTTTTTCCTCTGGTTGCACATGTGACATGCTGGTAGAAATTAGGCAAAACGGATGTAAGTTTGCCTGCATTAAAGTCCCCGGCCACTAGGAGCTCCGCTTCTGGATGAGCATTTTCTTGTTTGCTTATGGCCTTATACAGCTTGTTGAGGGCGGTCTTAGTGCCAGCATCGGTTTGTGGTGGTAAATAGACGGCTACGAATAATTTAGATGAAAACTCTCTTCGTAGATAGTGTGGTCTACAGCTTATCATGAGGTACTCTATCTCAGGCGAGCAATAACTCGAGACTTCTTTAATATTAGACATCTTGCACAAGCTGTTATTGACAAATAGACCCCCCCCCCCCCCCCGTCTTACCAGACGTAGCTGCTCTGTCCTGCCGATGCACGAAAAACACAGCCAGCTCTATATTAATCGTGTCGTCGTTCAGCCACGACTCGGTGAAACATAAGATATTACAGTTTTTAATGTCCCGATGGTATGATAGTCTCAATCATAGATCATCCAGTTTATTTTCCAGTGATTGCACATTGGCCAATTAAATGGATGGTAGAGGTGGTTTACCCACTCGCCGATTAATTCTCACAAGGCACCCCGACCTCCGCCCCCTGTATTTCCATCTTTTCTTTACACGAATGACGGGGATTTGGGCCTGGTCTCAGGAAAGCACTATATCCTTCGCGTCGGACTCATTAAAGAAAAAATCTCTGTCCAGTTCGAGGTGAGTAACCGCTGTTCTGATGTCCTGAAGCTTTTTTCGGTCATAAGAGACGGTAGCAGCGACATTATGTACAAAATAAGTTACAATACGAAAAAACTTACAAAATAGAACAGTTGGTTAGGAACCATTAAAACGGCAGCCATCCCCTCCGGCGCCATTATACCATATAATAATTTGAATGCCACGCGACTGGCGAATTTGACTGTGACTGGCCAGTTGTTGTAGCGTGTTTACTAACGCGTTAGTTCTATTAGCTATGCTGACTATGACGTTACTTTAGCTAAAATGGTGACAACGATGTAGGCTGTGTGTAGCGGTTTGGCTTGGAATGTTTTTTTCGCCTGGTCACATATAGCTGATGTGTTGTGCATTGAAGTCCACAAGCGAAGGGACAAGGTGAGAGGAGGAAAGCGCATAGAAGGAATACAACGTGGCTGCTATGAAAGTGAACTGTGTTTACGCGTGATCAGGGGTGTATTCATTCCGCCAATTCTTTTGAAAAACGTTTTTTAAACGGAAGCAAACGGAACAAAACGGGGATAAACATACCTGAATTTGTCCAATAGAAACTCTCGTTTGCAACTGTTGGACTAATGATTACACCCTATATCAGCTAGATGCAGGCAAGAGTGTGCAAGGCAGTATTGAATGTCACTGTCTGTCCATGTGTCACTGTCTGTCGCCTCAAATGTGTCTCTCGACCTGTGTGCACCTACGTTGTAAACTTTCATTCATAGGGTAGGTTGAAGCAACCTCATGATGGGTATAGGGAAAGTATATTGGAAAGAGTCATCCAATATGCTGTAATAGAAATAAGGCCATGCTCATGAAAAAAAAAATGTCCTCCCTCATTTTAAACGACACTGACCGCCACTGGTGTGTGTAGTCAGTATAAATGTGTGTGCATGTTCTGTACACTATATATACAAAAATATGTAGACCCCCCTTCAAATTAGTGGATTCATTGCTGACAGGTGTATAAAATCTGGCACACAGCCATGCAATCTCCATAGACAAACATTGGCAGTACAATGGCCTTACTGAAGAGCTCAGTGACTTTCAACGTGGCACAAGTCATTCGACTAATTTCTGCCCTGCTAGAGTGTAAGTGTAAGTGCTGTTATTGTGAAGTGGGAACGTCTAGGAGCAACAACAGCTCAGCCGTGAAGTGGTAGGCCACACAAGCTCACAGAATGGGACCGCTGAAGCTCGTAGTGCGTAATAATCGTCTGTGCTCGGTTGCAACACTTACTACCGAGTTCCAAACTGCCTCTGGAAGCAACGTCAGCACAATAACTGTTTGTCAGGAGCTTCATGAAAAAATGGCCGAGCATCCGCACACAACCTTAAGATCATCATGCAATGCCATGCGTCGGCTAGAGTGGTGTAAAGCTCAACACCATTGGACTCTGGATCAGTGGAAACGCGTTCTCTGGAGTGATGAATCACGCTTCACCATCTGGCAGTCTGACGGACAAATCTGGATTTGGGGATGCCAGGAAAACGTTACCTGCCCCAATGCATAGTGCAAACTGTAAAGTTTGGTGGAGGAGGAATAATGGTCCGGGGCTGCTTTTGATGGTTCGGGCTACAGCTTACAATTACATTCTAGATGATTCTGTGCTTCCAACTTTGTGGCAACAGTTTGGGGAAGGCCCTTTCCCGTTTCAGCATGACAATGCCACTGTGCAAGGTCCATACAGAAATGGTTTGTCGAGATCGGTGTGGAAGAACTTGACTGGCCTGCACAGAGCCCTGACCTCAACCCCATTGAACACCTTTGGGATGAATTGGAATGCCAACATCAGTGCCCGACCTCACTAATGCATTTGTGGCTGAATGGAAGCAAGTCCCCGCAGCAATGTTCCAACATCTAGTTGAAAGCCTTCCCAGAAGAGTGTAGGCTGTTATAGCAGCAAAGGGGGGACCAACTCCATATTAATGCCCATGATTTTGAAATGAGATGTTCGACGAGCATGTGTCCACATACTTTTGGTTATGTAGTGTATGTAGGTGTGTCATTGTGCGTGATTGTGTAGAGTCCTGTGAGTGTGCATGGAGAAAGTGCAAATATAAAATCCAAGGGTCAACTCAGTCCGTGTTGCCATTTGTTAGTTATTTAGAAGTCTTATGGCTTGGGGATAGAAGCTGTTCAGGAGCCTGTTGGCATCAGTCTTGATGCACCGGTACCACTTGCCGTGCGGAAGCAGAGAGAACAGTCTATGGCTTGGGTGGCTGCAGTCTTCAACTATTTTCCGGGCCTTCCTTTCACAGCGCCTGGATATAAAGGTCCTGGATGGCAGGGAGCTCGGCCCCAGTGATGTACTGGTCTTACTAACGTTGAGGGAGAGGTTGTTGTCCCGGCACCACACTGCTAGGTCAATGACGTCCTTCCTGTAGGCTGTCTCATCGTCACTGGTGAGCAGTCCTCCCACCGTTGTGTCGTCAGCTAACTTGATGATGGTGTTGGAGTAATGCGTGGCCATTCAGTCGTGGGTGAACAGGGAATGCAGTAGGGGTCTAAGCACATACACCTGTGGGGCTCCCATGTTGAGGGTCAGAGTGGCGGAGGTGATGTTGCCTACCCTCACCATATCGGGTTGGACCGTCAGGAAGTCCAGGATCCAGTTGCAGAGGGAGGTGTTCAGTCCCAGGGTCTTAAGCTTGGTGACGAGCTTGCAGGGGACAATGGTGTTGAACGCTGCGCTGTAGTCAATGAACAACATTTTCACATACAGTGGGGAGAACAAGTATTTGATACACTGCCGATGTTGCAGGTTTTCCTACTTACAAAGCATGTAGAGGTCTGTAATTTTTATCATAGGTACACTTAAACTGTGAGAGACGGAATCTAAAACAAAAATCCAGAAAATAACATTGTATGATTTTTAAGTAATTAATTTGCATTTTATTGCATGACATAAGTATTTGATCACCTACCAACCAGTAAGAATTCCGGCTCTCACAGACCTGTTAGTTTTTCTTTAAGAAGCCCTCCTGTTCTCCACTCATTACCTGTATTAACTGCACCTGTTTGAACTCGTTACCTGTATAAAAGACACCTGTCCACACACTCAATCAAACAGACTCCAACCTCTCCACAATGGCCAAGACCAGAGAGCTGTGTAAGGACATCAGGGATAAAATTGTAGACCTGCACAAGGCTGGGATGGGCTACAGGACAATAGGCAAGCAGCTTGGTGAGAAGGCAACAACTGTTGGCGCAATTATTAGAAAATGGAAGAAGTTCAAGATGACGGTCAATCACCCTCGGTCTGGGGCTCCATGCAAGATCTCACCTCGTGGGTCATCAATGATCATGAGGAAGGTGAGGGATCAGCCCAGAACTACATGGCAGGACCTGGTCAATGACCTGAAGAGAGCTGGGACCACAGTCTCAAAGAAAACCATTAGTAACACACTACGCCGTCACGGATTAAAATCCTGCAGCGCACGCAAGGTCCCCCTGCTCAAGCCAGCGCATGTCCAGGCCCATCTGAAGTTTGCCAATGACCATCTGGATGATCCAGAGGAGGAATAGGAGAAGGTAATGTGGTCTGATGAGACAAAAATAGAGCTTTTTGGTCTAAACTCCACTCGCCGTGTTTGGAGAAAGAAGAAGGATGAGTACAACCCCAAGAACACCATCCCAACCGTGAAGCATGGAGGTGGGAACATCATTCTTTGGGGATGCTTTTCTGCAAAGGGGACAGGACGACTGCACCGTATTGAGGGGAGGATGGATGGGGCCATGTATCGTGAGATCTTGGCCAACAACCTCCTTCCCTCAGTAAGAGCATTGAAGATGGGTCGTGGCTGGGTCTTCCAGCATGACAACGACCCGAAACACACAGCCAGGGTAACTAAGGAGTGGCTCCGTAAGAAGCATCTCAAGGTCCTGGAGTGGCCTAGCCAGTCTCCAGACCTGAACCCAATAGAAAATCTTTGGAGGGAGCTGAAAGTCCGTATTGCCCAGCGACAGCCCCGAAACCTGAAGGATCTGGAGAAGGTCTGTATGGAGGAGTGGGCCAAAATCCCTGCTGCAGTGTGTGCAAACCTGGTCAAGACCTACAGGAAACGTATGATCTCTGTAATTGCAAACAAAGGTTTCTGTACCAAAAATTAAAGTTCTGCTTTTCTGATGTATCAAATACTTATGTCATGCAATAAAATGCAAATTAATTACTTAAAATCATACAATGTGATTTTCTCTCACAGTTGAAGTGTACCTATGATAAAAATTACAGACCTCTACATGCTTTGTAAGTAGGAAAACCTGCAAAATCGGCAGTGTATCAAATACTTGTTCTCCCCACTGTAGGTATTCCTCTTATGTAAGTGGGTGAGGGCATTGTGGAGTGTAATTGAGATTGTGTCGTCTATGGATCTGTTGGGGCGGTATGCAAATTGGAATGGGTATAGGCTGTCTGGGATGATGGAGTTGCTGTGTGCCATAATCAGCCTTTCAAAGCACTTCATGATTACAGATGTGAGTGCTACAGGGTGGTAGTCATTGTAGCATGAAGCCTTAGAGTTCTTGGGAACAGGAATGATGGTAGTCATCTTAAGACGTGGGGATTACAGACTGGGACAATGATAGGTTGAAAATAACCGTGAATATGCCTGCCAGCTGTTCTGCGTATGCTCTGAGAATGCACCCTGGATAACTGTCTGGCCTTGTGAGTGTTGACCTGATTAAATGGGAATTTCACCCTGGCTCTGCCACGGCATATAGTCATTACTATATTAACAACATTACGTTTTTATCATAAACATCTAAATTATCCAAACCACAAGCTAGAACTAGCACATTTTCATTTCACTGGTAGAATCGGGAAGTTTCTGCTCATAGTGAACCACAAAGTCCGGTATTCATAGCAAATGCAGATACCGCCAGCTAGGTAGAGGGGGCGGGCCCACAAATTTGATTAATGGCATTGTTTACTTCGAATGACCAACACACAGTAATCTCGGAACTTCTCTAGGCAAGATTTGTTTTTCACTAATGTTTGTCATCATGCCCGTGTGGTGTTCTGTCAAGAATGATGTGTTGACCAAAGATTATTAGAGGGATTTTTAAGCTGAACTGATGGGGAATCCATCTCAACGACAGCTGAGAAGTGATGCGATACCAACGATTTTTCTTATTTCACAACAAAACGGAAGATTCTTAATTAGAGGTAACCTACCGTTAGCTAGCTTGCTAGTCTAGCTGGACTAGCTGGGTAAGTTAGCTAGCTAGCTAACGTTACAGTCCTGTATTGAACTCTGAAAGCCATCAGCTAAATCATATAGCTATCTTTTGGTATGCACACTGTCAATCAATTTTGCCTATGCCATGGTAGTTAGTCACTGCTAGACTGGTAGTTACCTTCAGCAGAGTAAACATGTTTGTTTGTTCGTTCTATCTTTTACTGTCTTCAGCTAACATAAGCTAGCTAATGTTAGCAAATAAGAGTATGTCAATCTGGTAGTTATCTACCCTTCTTTGGAAAACACTCCATTACTAAAAATAGAATTTTCGATATAGCTACCTCACTATCTGTTTGTATGTCGGTAGCAATGATGAATGTGTATAAATTGGTTAGTTGGTTCTCAGCCAGTCTCAGTTGGCTAGCAATCTTGCTGCCAATTGAGTGACGGTAGTTAGATAACAGCAAGCTGACAATATTGAAATGTCCATGTTAGGTATGCTTAGCTAACCAGCCTAATGGATATCAATACAATTAGTGGGGTGGTTAAATTGTGTATTGTTGTGTATTTTGTTGTAGGTGGTACATAATCTTATTCCACCAACATGCGCTTCCATGGTGAAGGTTAAGTTGGCAAAAATATTTACAAACTGACGGCTAACATAGCTCATTTTACAGTAAGCATGAACTGGGAAGTGTTTGTATGGTTTGTGTTTGTTTTGTGGGGTTAGAAGTAGCCTGAGGACCACAGAGTACCTTCCAGACCATGTAATCAATTTAGTCTACCCCTCTTCTCTTTTTAGCTTTTCTTTTTTGCAAAACTCAGGTTACCTGGAGTCATTCCACAGTGCCCTGCTGAAACATTTGTCCGTTTCAGGAAATTAGGCGTATGTCGCAAGTCCCGACTTCACAGGAGAGCCATTTCAACCTTTTTATTTAATTTAAATTTTTTAATGCGTTTTTTGGCAGAAATGCCTTCTGGAACATTTTAACTTTCATGTGCCTTAATAACAAACTTGTATGCCATCTGTAAAAAATTACGAGCCTAGTCGGTTTAGCCACAGAAATAGACAGGAACCTTCCCGCTAGCCATGATTGGCTGAGATAATGAATGGCCTAGACATGCCGAGAGATGAGTTTCAGATTGGTCTGCGGTGTAGCATCGTGTGTCTATAAAATGAGCTGCTCGTTATGCGTAGATACTCCTTTCTACTGCAGTTTTTTCGAAAGATGTAACATTAGCGATGGAGAACTGCAAATATGTTGCTACTGCGTTCAATAACATTGCTGCCCTGAATTTATCAGGCGCTATCGACAAAGGTCAGTGGTAAAAAGTTGTGATGGACTACTTTCTGGAGGACGATCGTGCCATGCTGACTCTCTGACTCTGAAAATGAATCACACGGTGAGGAAATCTCTGATTTAGGTAAAAACATTTTCATTGAAGAAGACATTGTAGAATCTTCTGATGACAGTGATGGGGAAGAAACGGTGATCAACAGTGTTGTTGTCACGGATGAAGTTGACCGAGTTTTGAAATCAGTTGAATGTCTGGTAGAAGCTGAGTATGATAAGGAGATTAATATAATTCTGCCGTTTGATTGCAAATGCATAGCGAGTCGAAAAGAGAACACAGAAGGCTGATGATCTGATGATTATTATGGCATTACACACGGTCAGTGTGAACCAGAGTGACTTGACACAACGGGCCAAGCAAGCTGTACAAACAAAATGGAAACGACACAGGGCGTCTTATTTAATGAAAGGGGTTGCAGTCTGCCGTGAAGCATTCATCCATGTAAACGGGTAAGAGTCTAGCTACAGTTTCAGATATTATGCCATTTCGCATTGCTAGTTATACCCTAATGTTAGCTAGCTAACATTGAACCTATTTGGTTAACTTTAGCTAGCTATGACAATAGGTTTGTATTGCTAGTACTCTATGGATTAGGATTATGGTTCATTGTTTAGCTAGCTAACTGCATGTCTAAACAAAAGACCCCAAATTAAAGCTTACTGTTAGCTAGCTAGCTGACGTTAGATGGCTGGCTTGCTAGCTAACATTATGTGTATGATCTGTGTGTGGTGATGTTATCTCAGAATGCCATTTCGCAATGCTCGTTATAGCCTAATGTTAGCTAGCTAACTAGCTAACATTGAACCTATTTGGTTAACTTTAGCTAGCTATGACAATCGGTTTGTATTGCTAGTACTCTATGGATTGGGATTATAGTTCATTGTTTAGCTAGCTAGCTAGCTACATGTCTAAACAAAAGACCCCAAGTTAAAGCTTACTGTTAGCTAGTAATCAGACGACCCATCAAGTTAGCCAGGTGTGTCTGACGGTGATTACGGCTATCTATTGTATAGTAATGCTAAAATATTTGAATCTGGAATTTGTCTTTCAGCATCAGTAGAACACGCCTGACTCTCCTCCACCAGTCATACAAGGAGACTGGTCTAATGTCTCCCATCAAAAAGAGAGCTGGCCCAAGCAATCACTTCAACAACAACTACGCAGAGGATAATGCAATAGTATTACCAGGACGCCACCTAGGACACAAACACTTTGGTGGAAAGCTCAGATCAAGCAGTACCAACACTTCAGGTGAATATAATTTTCAATACATTGTATGAAGTTATTCTTCTTATCTAAACATGGGAGGTTAATTGATGTTGTGCAAGGTTGTAATGTCTTCACATTTGTGTTTGATATTTCCTGTTTTACAGCTTCGTTGCTCTGCATTCGGACTCAGTCGGGACCAGGTTTCAGCTGCTGCGCAACGCTGACATCCTTCCTCCCATAGATGGTCTGCCTGTACAAGCACCACCTGGACTGGACACAGCTAGACAAACATATATTTTTGAGAAGATCAGGGAGTTTGCGACGAAGAGGCTATGGACATCACATGCCCTGCACCAAAGTCAAGGGCAGGACAGAAACAGGCTCTCCTAATATAGATTCCCTTGTTCATGCGTGGTCTGGACGGACCAGTCATCAGCCCTATCTGCAGTGCCTCTTTTCAAATGACTCTCTCCTAACACACGTTGCTGCTACTATTTTTTTTATTTATCCTGCTGCTCAGCCATGATTGTATGCATATAACTACCTCATCTATCACTGATATCGTTATTCATATTGTTCTTGTACATACTGTATATTATTTTATTTACATTGACACTATCTATTTCTGATATTGCTACTATGCAAGTAACCATTTGGCTGTACCGTTTACACCTTCTGTAGAGACCCATCCACTTAGGAAGATGTGGCTTGGGGTTATAGCATGTCTTTTACATGACCCATCAATTTAGACAAGTGTGTCTGAGTAAGCGTCATCTAATATTTATAAAATATTTTAATCTGGACACTTTGTTTACCTGGAATTTTTCCTTATTGTAGGCTGCTACTTTTACCACTTTTAGTCTTAATCTTTACTACACTACTCACGGACACACATGTGAATCCTTAAAGAGATAGGTGGGGCTGGCTTAAGAGGGTGTGAACAATGCTGAATGGGTGTAGGCAAAGGAGAGCTCTCCAGTAGATACCAAATCATTCAAAGGAAATTTTCTCAAAAGTGAGTTTACAAGTTTGTCAACTTTCAAAGCAGAATTACTTTCCCATTGTTCCTCAAAAATGCAGTGTATGATATACCATTTCGTAGCTCTGAGTGTCTACTTTTATCCAATGTAAAAAGCACAATTTCAAATGTTGCTATACATGACCGATTTGAGGCGCTCGGTCACAAATATCCTAGGGTACACAAGCATGAGGGAGTGGACACACCTTGCGGTTATAGAACGCAACAAGATTGTGGGATGGAAACCAGCAAAGGACACTGAAAGGTATAAAATCAAGACTACAATAGTAATGACACAACCACCTCATTATTCTCTGCAGATTCTCAAAACACAACACCAAGACAAGTCTACAAAATTACCCTGCAAAGGTTAATTTATTGTTGTGTATGTGAGTGATTGAGGTGCCATTTCTCCTCAATCTCCCATACACAACAATTCATACTGTGTAAGAACTGCCTTCCTAAGACTGTCCAAACCTTCTTTAGCCCGACCGGCCTGTTCACGTTGTTGACTGATCTTTCCTCTCAAAAGCAGCTCCCAATGCCCCCTCATTGTCCCTAAACAACATGCTAGCCAGTCCCATTAGTTTGATAACTTTACCAACAATGGTGTGTTGCCCTACGTCCCTTCCAAAAAAAAGTGTAAAATGCTAACACCACAACCATGTCTTTCCAGGAGACGTGCAGTACCAGCAAATCTTCTGCAAGATGACCAAATAGTTGGTGGTTAAGAAGCCCTACACCACTTTCAGCAGAGTTTCATCCAGATGGCCGTTCACCGCAGACAGGACCCTTTGCCATAAGCACAAAGAGTCTCAGCTTCACCAGCCCACCAAACCGAACACCATTGCCAGAGTCCTGAAGCCGGATAAATGATTGTCTGCGTTTGACCAGTCAGATCAGTTCTGAAATAAATCTGATGTGATTCAGACCAAATAGTGGAAAAAAGATCAGAATTGGGCTGCCTGTGTAAACACATCCAGTGTGTGGCTCAGCATAAGACCATGTAGAACAGGGGTCTCCAACCCTGTTCCAGGGGAGCTACCATCCTGTAGCTTTTCGCTCCAACCCCAGTTGTAACTAACCATATTCAGCTTATCAACCAGTTAATTATTAGAATCAGGTGTGCTAGATTAGGGTTGGAGTGAAAACCTACAGGACGGTAGCTCTCCAGGAACAGAGTTGGAGAGCCCTGATGTAGAGCCACCATAAAATAAATATGGATATTTTCTATCAATCTTCGAAATTTGTCTGGTTATGGATTCACAGAAGATATTTATATAAACTGTACAGGGCTCTGTAGCATCAAACAGATGCTAGACATTCAGATGATGCCTATAATTGTGTGAGATTGGTTATGACCGTGGACGCATTCCAATGTCTATCATCGTCAATTATGTTACATAGCTAGCTAGTAAAATTATTTACAGCTGCTGATGTAACATGTTTGCTAACAAGTTCCAAATGCGAGGCATGGCGCATAACAAGTTAGCTGGTGCCAGGCTAACTAGCCAGCCAACTCCAGTCATGTGCTAACGTTTGCTGGTAAACCTAGCTTTAGGTGGCTGGTTATAACATTGTAGCTTGCTGTTTAGTAGCCAGCCATATCTACGACTAAAAAGAGAAGAGGTTTTACAAACGAGATACAAAAGATATCTGATTGTAAAGCCTTTTCTATTTTTAGTCATAGGTATGGCTATAGGTAGTTGTTTAGCTAGCTCACTTAGGTAGCTAGTTACCTAGCCTACCTAGCTAGCTAAATTAGCAAACAGAAAAATTATTAGATTTCCCCCACTGTAACACAGTAGTATGTTAGCTAGCAGTAGACAGTATGGGTTTCAGTAGATAAACTAAAGTTAGCTAGCTAAGTGGCTTGAATGAAAAATAACTTATTTGTCATCTGCTCTCTTGGTGCTGGCATTTGCTGTAGCTAAACTTCTAAAGTTAACTAAATCCAACTCTTCGTTTCGAATCCCCTTCGCTATATTCGGGTTGAAACGTATGGTTGAATGCCACCATGTAGCATGGTTGAATTCGTGTTGATGAGAGGAATCACTTGAAGCCATTGCGTCTGGTCAGTTCTTTCAGTTTTGCCCAAAGGATTGTGTCCGCTTCCTTTAAAAAAAAAAGGCCGCCTTGGGGAAGGGATGGGGGCCAGAGCACGAAGCACTGCCCAACACAAGCTGTAGTCTTTCAGAGACTGGAAAAAATGTGTCTGCTTGTATATTTAGCAATGAATCGGCCGATAGGAACATTGCTGAAAGACATCCAATGGCTTTATTGAACAAGGACAACCATAAATACATGCACAAAAACGTATAGGGCGAAATGCCACAAAGCAGTACTACATCAATACACCGAAAGCCATCATAGGGTGTATCATTCAGCACACAAAGCCCTGACCTGCCTTTTTCCTGGGCAATTATGTGTGAAACACATCTCACTGTCCTAGAAATGCCTCAGACATGATGAACACAAGCCCAGATTCCCCAAGGGTGAAATTCCCCTTCAAAGGCCTGACTCATGTCAGCCTTGGAGTGCGAGATCACCCAGTCCTCTGGGTCGGTGGGGGCCATCACGCACGGTAGTGTTATTGTCGAAAACCTGTTCAAAAGTTCTTGTTGGTTATAAGAAATGATAGCAGATACATTTTGTGAAAATAAAGTTGGTTCGGAACTCGCAAAACGGCGACCATCCAGTACAGCGCCATCTTAAACTTACAACTAACATTTGTAATTGGGAGTTGGAACACTACTAGCAATTGCTACTCTTGAAATGCTGAACAGTTGCATCTAATGTCCCCTTTATTTTGGCCATGCAGGTGGAGGCCCTGAAACAGGAGCAGTTGAGGCTCCAACGGATCCTGTTCACCCCCACAGATATCGAGAGGATAAACTGGGTAAAGAGGGAGCTGCAGCTATAAATGAGTTTCAAGTACATATGTTGTAGAATTAAACACCTATATGCCTTAAATGGTTATGGATTGAGAACAAGTTGAAGGGTTAATACAGAGCAGAGACATTTATGTGTTTTTCATAAGCTCCCTGCAGCTGGTCTGGGTATTTCAATGACATGTTATGGAGATACAACTCCTCGTGATGGCTGTGTGGAGATTGGAGTAACAATGGAACTAGTGTTATCATTTGTTTGTGCTTATGACCTTATGACCTGACACATAGCCACATGCACATAATCTCAAGGGCCAGGGAGGATGGTAAATGATAAATGCTTAAATGTATGTGGTTGAGAATGGGTTATCAATGACATGTTTAAACCATGTTTAAGTATTAATTGAGATGTTTTATAATGTGTTATGAAATGATAAAGGTAAAACAGAATGAACATGATTGATACTTTGTACTCCAGATGCATGCCTGGATAGTGAATATAGTCAATACAGAGTGTGATTGTTCTTTAACGTACGTATGTACATAATTTTTTGAGTCATGCCACTAATAAGATACAGAGGCCCCACTTAGAGAAGCGCAAGTAGCCCCCGTGAGTAGCCAACATGTGATACTGAAAGATGTTATTCATTCACATAGGGAGGAGTAACTATCAGTTGTATCAGTGTGACTATGCATTTGTGTCTGTATAAAAGGAGCGCTCCGGTTCAGGGCAAGCAGTTGCTCCATGGAGCAAGCTCGGCTTTGTTATGCAAATAATAAAAGTCTAAATTCACAAGTTCCAGTCTCTTGAGAAATATTTTTAAGTTGACTACTTTTTGAGTCAAATATTTCTACGACATATTTGGCGAGCTAGCCAGGAGTTGACAACAGGGGCCAGAGACGGTGTACATCTGCAGTTATGAAACGGCTTGGACGGACCATACAAACAAAAGCGGCCCCTTTTAACAGGTAAGCCAAGTTCTTACTTATATAGTATAACGTTTGTGTGGTCCGATCCGGGGCACGGCATCAGCTGCAGAAATACCAAGTAGGTCTCTCCAAATTTAAGAACCAGAAAATGAGACTAGGAGCTTTTGAATTTAAGAATACATGTCGATGTCACTCTGTTGTTCGTCTGAACCGTCTGTTCAATTGATTTGATTGATTTGATTGATTTGATTCATCCTGCTGATCGCTTTGTCTGGGTCATTTCGGCACGGGCGGTTGTCCATCTGGTTGAGCGATCAGACAATAACATTGTAAGTCCTGCGAATACCGCTATAAACGTGTCGAGGAAGTGTATCGTTTATAGGCTGCTTAGGTAGGCAGAAATCCTGTGTAATACCGTGTCGAGGAAGTGTATCAGAAAAAATAGGGCAGAATTTACAGGTCGCTTAGGAAAGCGTAGTAGAAGTCCAGGTGTGTCGAGGAAGTGTATCACCTAGGGGGCTAAATAAATAGAAATCCTGTGGATACCGCTTTGGAGAGCTAAAATTAGCGCTCCAGAGGGCTGAACGGGCAGGTGGCTAGCTAAATTTGGGACCTACGGTTACCGCTCTAATGAGGAATTAATTGTTAGAGGTCTGCTCGGGTAGGTGGGGCATCATCCTGTGTTGTGGTGATGCCAAAGTTAGGCAGGGTCGATCAGGTAAAAAAGTTAGGTCATCCTGAGTAGGTGAACGGGTTAAATAGCCACAAGGGCTTCAAAATATAGAGAAAGTGTTAAATAGAGTAGATCTGCTCATCTCGTATGGGTGAATAGTTTGCTTGGGCGGCTGTGAGTCATTCAACTGTCTGATTCATTTGGGCACAAGTGGCTGCTCATCTGTGTGAGTGAGAATAATAAGAAATCCTGCAAGTAAATAGCCTTTCTGTAAGGAAAGGAAATATATTTGAGGTCGTTTGAAGCTTCTGTCTGATGGAGAAAGGGCGTGCCCAATCTCACTCAGAATAAATGGTGCGTGGATATTCATTGACCAACTGAGTGTAGAAAATTCACGTTACCAGGAGGGGTAGAATAAATCCTGTTGGAGGAACAGGTCACGTGTACCGGTGTGATCATATGACGTCTATGCATTGTATTTTGATCAATCTTTTAGGGTATGTTTCTGACATTATATTTGGAAACGTTAGAGGTGATGTAGTATTATGATAAATTGACTACAGTAAAAATAATAACTAGGATAGGGTTAACATTCCAAATTTGGGCCCTTTGATAGAATAAAATATTCCTGTAGGTTATACAAATAGTAATTAAGCGCGTTTGAGAACAACATTGTATAAATATGGAATAAGAGTGGTATAATGGTGTAAATTAGTCGCACTCTGAAGTTTGAATAATGAGATATAGAGGTGTGTATGATAATTATATATACGTTGGAATAATAAGCTTTTCTTGTAAATGATATCTTGGAGTTTCGTACAACAATGCCTGTCATAGAATTTTGTAAGATCAGGGAATAGTGACCAGCATATATGGGAGGATTCTATGACTGAGGGGAAGGATTTGGGTAATTTGTTGTTTGTTCGCTGAGACTAGATTGTGATTAACTGATTTGTGGCAATAAAGAATCATTAGAAACATGAATGGTTTGGTTGATGTGAATATATTAGAATATAATTAATTTTATGGGAGTGTAATTTATTAAAAGTCATTGGAAAAACGTATAGGTGTTGACTTGCATGCCCAAACACGTACAGACCTACGTGGGGATGGGAGAAAGTACATAGAGCATGTGGTGGAATTAACCATTATAATAAACTATCTATTATTTCAGAAGCAGAGGTGATATAGTCAAGGAATTTTTGTATATTAGGGGGAAAATATAATTCATTTGGTTAGGTCGTTAGATCTGTTTCCAAATCAATGAATGTGGGGTTTGACTCGTTGACTGCTAAGTTATTTAAGTTGAGCGTGTGAGATCTGTGTCCTTCAAAGCTATTTTCTGATAAAGTGTGGTATGTGCCAGATACTAAAACTACTGACCATTATCATTGAAATAAAGGAGGATTAACTTGTCTTTTCAATAAAGCATAGATTCTGCATCGCTGATCAGAGTCTAGGTTTTCTAAGTATAGTTTAACTATGGTTGTGGGTTGTTTAGATTGACGGAACAGTCAGGATAAGACTGGACGATTTAGCAGCCTGCGTCTTTTCAGACTGAAGGACTCACTTATTCAACGGGAAAGAAGGAGGAGTGTCTATAGTCTAATCAGAAAGGACAGTTACATACATTTGAATAGCCGACTGGCAATTGCGATAGAGTTATGGCCATAATTTGAATTGTTTAGGTAGACTGGAATGAAAGTAAGGTCTTTTAATAATATGAATATAAATATATTATTAGTTATTGTTGGGATGTGAATAGACTTTACTAATGCCATGAACTAGTTTCCGGGTAAAAGAGAGTCGTACTTGCTTGACTGTATCGAGCTGAAAGAGATATTTGAAGCAAGGTTGAATAGTTGGATGGAAAACATTTATTTAACACATTCTAATTGTTATTACTTTATTCTATAGTTTGCGTGACACCAGTGATGTATGCGAATAGTTGGTGAATTCTAGAATGATAATGTATTTTCGTTACGTGAACCAGGGGATGCAAGGAGCTTTGGCTATTATGCTGAGTGAATAGCACCAATTTATAGTGGGTTCTAGATTTGTTGAATAAACAAACTTATATTTTAAACTAAAGTAATGCAATAGGCTACAATTATAACATTATCAGAAAAAGGCACTATACGCTCATCTGTGGTCCTCTGTAGCTCAGTTGGTAGAGCACGGTGCTTGCAACGCCAGGGTTGGGTGTTTGATTCCCAAGGGGGGCTAGTATAAGTATAAAAATGTATGAGCTCACTAATTGTGCGTCGCTTGGGATAAGAGCTTCAGCAAAATGACTAACATGTAAAAATGTTAACGGGTATGGAGAGGAGAGTACGTGGTAGTAATTTATTAGTCATTGAATAAGGTTTTGCTAGATTAAACGAGTGACAATGGTGGAATATGTCTATAAATAAATTGGATCGTGATAAATGGATGATTTCAATATATGATGGTAAACTACAGCAAGTGTTTGGTGTTACTTGTAGCTTACTTAGAAATTATAGTTGAATAGATCTCATTCATTCTGTAATTGTCACGTTCGTCTAATGACGCATCAGACCAAGGCACAGCGTGATATGGACTGGAACCGCTGACTGGAGCTGGACCCGACGACGGTGGATCGAACTGCTCTGGCTCCAGAGTGGAGCCGCTGACCGGAGCTGGATCAGGCACCGGTGGAGCGGACTGCTCTGGCTCCGGAGTGGAGCCGCTGACCAGAGCTGGACTGGACCTCGGTGGAGCGGATTACTCTGGCTCCGGAGTGGAGCAGCTGACCGGAGCTGAACTGGGCACCGGTGGAGCAGACTGCTCTGGCTCCGGAGTGGATCCGCTGACTGGAGCTGGACAGGACCCCGGTGGAGCGGACTGCTCTGGCTCCGGAGTGGAGTAGCTGACCGGAGCTGGATCAGGCACCGGTGGAGCGGACTGCTCTGGCTCCGGAGTGGAGCCGCTGACCGGAGCTGGACTGGACCCCGGTGAAGCGGATTGCTCTGGCTCCGGAGTGGAGCAGCTGACCGGAGCTGAACTGGGCACCGGTGGAGCGGACTGCTCTGGCTCCGGAGTGGAGCAGCTGACCGATGCCGGACCAGGCACCGGTGGAACAGGCACGGGCCGTGCCGGACTGGACACACGCACCACTGGCTTGGTGCGAGGAGCAGGAACAGGCCGGACCGGGCTGGCGACGCGCACCACTGGCTTGGTGCGGGGAGCAGGAACGGGCCGTACCGGACTGGCGATGCGCACCACTGGCCTGGTGCGAGGGGCAGGAACAGGCCGTACCGGACTGGCGACGCGCACCACTGGCCTGGTACGAGGGACAGGAACAGGCCGGGCCGGGCTGGCGACGCGCACCACTGGCCTGGTGCGAGGGACAGGAACAGGCCGGGCCGGGCTGGCGACGCGCACCACTGGCTTGGTGCGAGGGGCAGGAACAGGCCGGGCCGGACTGGCGACGTGCACCACTGGCTTGGTGCGAGAGCAGGAACAGGCCGGACCGGGCTGGCGACGCGCACCACTGGCTTGGTGCGAGGAGCAGGAACAGGCCGGGCCGGGCTGGCGACGTGCACCACTGGCTTGGTGCGAGGAGCAGGAACAGGCCGGGCTGGGCTGGCGATGCGCACCACTGGCTTGGTGCGAGGAGCAGGAACGGGCCGGACCGGACTGCGAAGGCGGACTGGAGGTCTGGAGCGGAGAGCTGGCACAACCCGTCCTGGCTGGCTGCCTACTTTCGCACTACACATGCGGGGCGCTGGCACAGGACGCACTGGGCTGTGCACGCGCACTGGCGATACAGCTCGTAGAACAGGCGCAGGATATGCGGGACCGAGGAGGCGTACTGGAGACCAGGAGCGTTGAGCCGCCACACCCCGTCCTGGCTGAATGCCCATCTTCGCACGACACGTGCGTGGTGCTAGCACAGGACGTACAGGACTGTGCCGGCACACTGGCGACACAGTACGTAGCTCCGCATAACACGGAGCCTGCCCAGTCACACGCTTCCTCGCGTGAGTACGGGGAGTTGGCTCTGCTCTAACACTAGGCTCCGCCAACCACCCTTTTAGCCCCCCCAAAAAAAATTATTGGGGCTGTCTCTCGGGCTTCTTCCTCGGCCGGCACCTTCTGCGTTGCCGCTGCTCCTCTCTATACCGCGCCTCCACTGTCTCCTCCCAAGGACTGCGATCCATCCCGGCCTGAATCTCCTCCCATGTCCAGGAACCCTTTCCTTCCAGGATCTCCTCCCATGTCCAGGCTGTCTGCTCCTGGACACGCTGCTTGGTCCTCCTTTGGTGGGATCTTCTGTCACGTTCGTTTAAAGACGGGACGGACCAAGGCGCAGCGTGATATGCGTACATGTTTATTGAATATTAAACACCGCGACAAAACAACAAACAAAACGAAACGTGAAGTCCAAGGCAGCACAACACAACATACCTTAACTGGAACAAGATCCCACAACCCACTAGTGCCAATGGGCTGCCTAAGTATGGTCCCCAATCAGAGACAACGAGCGACAGCTGCCTCTGATTGGGAACCACACCGGCCAACGTAGAAATAGACATACTAGAATATCAACATAGAAATATACAACATAGAACATACACACCCTGACTCAACATATACGAGTCCCCTGAGTCAGGGCGTGACAGTAATGGCGGAGTGATGGTTTAATTGCGTGGCTATGATTTTAGTTGATTACAAGAGAAATAGGATATAGTTTACGACGCATGGAGAAGTGAATGTCTTATATGGTAATAGATAAACTGAAACAAACATGACGTTACTACGGCAATTTAGGATGGTTAATGTTGTTAAGTTTGTTTTTAAAACCTATGATAGAGGTAAATGCAGAACACTGTTTAAAAGTGTGTTTTATTAGGTCTGCTAGTAAAAATGGAAGAATTTCCATTTTTGTCTGCGGGTGTTAAACATTGGGGCTTGCTGAAACGTGAGAGCGCCATAAGGGACATTATGGGTTAAGTTAGGTGTACAAGGATCGCGTATTTTGTAGGACGTCGTAGGAGGTTGAATATTATCGGCTGGAAATTGCTAGCTAGTTAGCGGTGAGAGCTAGTGCGGTTTTCGTTGGGTGACGTCACTTGCTCTATGAACTGGAAGTAGTTGCTTAGCGGGGGCCGGGGCTTTTGTGGAGCAACGGGTAACGGTGCTTTGATGGTGAATGTTGTCGATGTGTGCAGAGGGTCCCTGGTTCGAATCCAGTAAGGGACAGAAAGCAAATCTTTTACATTGATGTTATTGATGTGAATTACTGGTTTCATTGATAACATTATAGGAAAGATGTTGTCCTACCAATCCATGTCGGATAGGATAACATAGTAATTAAAATTGCATATTGGTGAATTGGATGTTTTATTGGTTTTTACTATAAATATAAAATAATTTGTCATCTGTTGAGGTACCATTATGAGGGAAATTAGCGGTAGAGTATGATAGATATTGAAGAGGGTTTAAAAAATAAGTTAATTGGGTGATGAGACAGGTTGACTTGATGTTGAATGGGATTGTTTAATAGAAGTAATTATTTCTATTTAGGAGAATGAGAATATGTTATTAGGTAGTATTGCTTTGTGGAGACGATTTACTAATGAAGAACATGTCTCGATAGTTGAATAAGGAACGATATTTGATAATTGATCATTTTATTATGACATTATATAGTTTGTTTAAACAGCAGTGAGTTATGACAATGGTTTATTACTTCAGATAACGATAATCTGTTTATAGTACGTTGAACGATGGGAGATAGTTGTTGCTGTTGGCCTGATGGATTAAGTAGACATCTTTTTATGGGTTTTGGATTATGAAACAATACGTTTATATATATTTTTTAACATCAATGCAACAGTTTGCGACGTTTAAATTACTAAAAAGGGATTATAGGTTTATAGTGGAAGGTGTAGTTAACTTAATAAAACGTGTTATTATCTAGTGTCTTCTAAGTGGGAGTTTTTTTTAAGGGTTGATGGGAGTCTCCTATAATATTATGTTAGGGGTAAAGTAGGACACGACGTATCAAACTATTTTAAATCGATGCTGGGGTTAATGATTGTTGATGAGAGAGGACTGGGGATATATGTATGATGTTTTGTGTGTAATTACTATCTTTGGATTGTTGATTATATGTTAACGACATGTATACTTTCTCTTCCAGGAACATGGGGATTTCTTTATATCTCATTGGGATGTTAAAAAAGTCTGTAGGCTAGGGTGGAACTAGTTAGTAAATTTAAGTAGTTTTACTTTTAGGTTGTCATAGGGAGCTACCAAAATAAATAAGGCCTGGCCATTTTTTGTTTGTTTATTGTTTTACTATATGGTGTTCGAATAACCACAAACAAACTACTTAGTATGAAATGTTATTCTGTATAGGATTTTTATTTCTATTTTGGGTTTTTTGACGGGATGGAAGTGAAATATCTTAAAGGGGCATACACATGTAATTTGGGTTTTATTTACTGAGTGATAAGTAAATATGTGTGATTCATTTTGAAAAGAGCTGTACTAAGGACTTACTGTACACTCGGGATACAACATTTATGAAATGTCTTGATGGTTATTAATGAGTAGTATACTATTGGATGAAACAATTACTTGAATGATTTCAATGACCTCTGAAATCTGTCCTGGCTTTATAGTGTGACCTGATCACCCGCACTATAAATTCTAGAGGCATGCTGTATTAGGGGGTTAGATATAATAAGGATAATTGTGAAGAAGTTTATAACTTGGACAAAATCCTATATATATATATATATTAGTCCAAACAGGACAAGGATGAAGTGAGAGAGTTAGTCCTGAAGGAGAGGTATTCCTTGAATAGTGTTATGGGATACAGTTAAGTAAAGATATGCTCAAGGGTTGTCATTTTCAGTTTAGTTATTATTTTTGGTTTAATAGGCAATATTGTTGTTGTTTTGTTTTTTTGAACACATGAATCATGATGTGATGCATGTGTCCAAGGGGGGAAGTTGGGCTTACAGAGGTTTTAATGTTTTATAATGGTTTTGTGGGGAAATATGCAAGGTGTATTAAGGATATGAGCAGTAGTAATAATGTGTTATGGGTTAGGTTAAATCTTTTTTGTTTTTGTGATAGGAGGCATGAAATAAGTGGACTACAACAAGCTGGAAGCAGGTGTGCTTCATAATTTCAAGGCTTCTCTTGACGGATGAGAGGACATAAGTAGTATACTGTGTCTCACCTAACCTAACAATGTTCTTAAGATTTTCTTTTCATGGGTGAAGATAACTCTGCCCAACTGAGTTGGAGAATCTGAGTATTTTCTGTGCCCTGGAGACTATGTGATGGCAAAAGACTACAGAAGAAAGAGCTGGAAAGACCCTATGTGGAGGGGCCTGTACCAGGTGTTGTTGGCTACCTTAATGATGGTAAAAGTGGTGGAGACAGATACTTAGATCCATGTTTCCCACTATAGGAGTGTTCCAACCTCAGCCATTGGGTAGCATTGTTGTCTTTTGTGTGTGTCTGTGCTTGTGTCTTTGCAGCAGTAACTCCGAGCTTCCCTATGGGTAAGCTGATAGAAGGACACTCATCGCAGACCGATGTTGATAGATTGAGAGGGACTCTGGCTGATCCGGAGACCCTAGTGATGGGAGAAGGTTAGCAGCTAAAGGTGTCCATACATCATCGTCCAGGTTACACCAACAGCGGTACGGATAGAGGGGAGCGTGATCGGGTATCATCTAAACCATTGTACCAGAGTGAGGGAACTGATGACTAGGAGACCACCGAGACTTCCAAGACCTTCCAGACCGCCGAGAGATTCCAGACCACCGAGAGATTCAAGATGTTATTACAGATAGTGTTGTAATGCATAGTAGAAATAATTCGGTCCAGAGCGGTGTGAACCTCAATAAAAACCAAAAAAAACCTCTACCCGGCTGAAGAGGAACAACAAAGGCGTTGAAGACATTCCTGTCCGACACCACCTCTGCCAGGAGACCTGAATCCAGCATCAAATCAAGGCAATCAATTGCCTTCTCTTTTGTGCCTTTTCTCTCAGAAATGTGACAGGAGTCCATGTGGAGTGAGCAGGAGGAGAGAGGTCTATGCAAATGCAACGTTCTTCATAGGGTATACTGGTTTGCAAATTGACAAAACAGAATGATGGTGGAGGTGGGGCGGCTCAGGTGTGACATTGGAATTGGGACATTGCCATGGGCAATCCAAGATGAACTATGAAGCTATCTGAAGAACATAATGAAGACACCAGAAGATTGAGTGCCGGTAGAGTAAGGGAGTGTTAGTTAAGGTAGTATGTTGATTAAGGAGGTATTATACACTGCTAAATTTATAGTAATTTAGACTAGGAATGTATTAAGATAATGATATATTGTAATTCTTGTTATGAGGAAGTTAATGCTAGAATTATGATAGTATAAATATACATTCTGCCAGTGTCAATATGTGCCAAGGTGAGAGATTTAACTTTGAATGATGGAACCAAAGTGAATAACTAAGAATTGTCATTCTAAATTTGTTTTGGGTAATTAATCTGATAATGACTATGAATTATAAGGTGACTGATTGATATGAATAAGTTATTAATATGTTAATAACTAATTATGTTGACATTGCAATGAATGGATTAGATATTGATTCTTTTGATTGTTATAATAATTGTGATATGGGTAAAAAAGGTTATGTAAGCTAAAGATGTTGACACTATTCTTAACATGTCCTAGATATTATGGTTAAAACAAAGTTGCATTTATTTCTTATATATTTTGATGTGTTAGGATACTACCACGTATATTGGAAATACAACAAAACAAAAAGGGGAGCAATGGTTACAAAGCTCAACAGCAACAATTGGAGGTTAGCTTAAAGGGAAACCTTCCGGATTTGTACCCAGTACCTGACTGGGCTTCTTGTCCTCATCGTGATGGGTCAGACTATGAGGAAGATACATTGGTCTGACCATATATTCTTATAAAAATTTAACCACAGATGGCAAGGCTAAGAATAAGTATATGCACATGCTTACACTCATTTTATGTTATCTTTTGTTTTATTGGTTGGGACTTAGAAAGTCCCAAAGGGGGGAATATATATAGATGCTTTTCAAGTACATATGTTGTAGAATTAAACACCTATATGCCTTAAATGGTTATGGATTGAGAACCAGTTGAAGGGTTAATACAGAGCAGAGACATTTATGTGTTTTTCATAAACTCCCTGCAGCTGGTCTGGGTATGTCAATGACATGTTATGGAGATACAACTCCTCGTGATGGCTGTGTGGAGATTGGAGTAACAATGGAACTAGTGTTATCATTTGTTTGTGCTTATGACCTTATGACCTGACACATAGCCACATGCACATAATCTCAAGGGCCAGGGAGGATGGTAAATGATAAATGCTTAAATGTATGTGGTTGAGAATGGGTTATGGATGACATGTTTAAACCATGTTTAAGTATTAATTGAGATGTTTTATAATGTGTTATGAAATGATAAAGGTAAAACAGAATGAACATGATTGATACTTTGTACTCCAGATGCATGCCTGGATAGTGAATATAGTCAATATAGAGTGTGATTGTTCTTTAACGTACGTATGTACATAATTTTTTGAGTCATGCCACTAATAAGATACAGAGGCCCCACTTAGAGAAGCGCAAGTAGCCCCCGTGAGTAGCCAACATGTGATACTGAAAGATGTTATTCATTCACTATCAGTTGTATCAGTGTGACTATGCATTTGTGTCTGTATAAAAGGAGCGCTCCGGTTCAGGGCAAGCAGTTGCTCCATGGTGTCACGGTTTCGGCCGAGGCTGCTCCTCCTCCTGGTTCGGGCAGGCTTCGGCGGTCGTCGTCCCCGGAGTACTAGCTGCCACCGATCTATGTTTCATGTTCGTTTGGTTTTGTCTGGATGTTGTACACCTGTGTCTTGTTAGTCCTCGTTAGTGTCCTATTTAGTTCTCGTTGTGTGTGCTTGTCGTTGTGTGTGATTGCGCTTCTGTTTCGTGTTTGGAGCTACATTTTCCCTCCAGTGTTTTGGAGAGGTTATTTTGCACATGTTTGTGCGCCGTTTGTTTTGTCGCCTGTGTGCGCCGTGTATTCGCCTTCGGGCTTATTGTGCTTCTGTCTTTTATATATATTGCACTAAAGCCTTTGGACTGAGCCTCTGCGTCCTGCGCATGATTCATACACAACACCCACCTTCAGCACGCCTTGACACATGGAGCAAGCTCGGCTTTGTTATGTAAATAATAAAAGTCTAAATTCACAAGTTCCAGTCTCTTGAGAAATATTTTTAAGTTTATTACTTTTTGAGTCAAATATTTCTACGACACAGCCGACCAACAGCCTGAGCAAGCGCCTGGAGCAGGCTGAGCAGCACATGTGGAAAGAGGAGATCGCTCTAGCCAAGGTCGAAGAAGGTAAGTGAAGAGGATGCTGTCCTGGATAAAAGAGGTTTAGGCTCCACTATTTATCCAGTGCTGGAGTGTCTACTTACCTGGGATGCATTCATTAGGACATGCAAGTTAAAATGTTTTGCAACGTTAAACCAATGTGGATTTCCTGCTGCACAAGTCCACGTAGTTTCTCCCTGTTTCAGTCCATTTTCTTCCATTTGGTGCCTAATGCATATGACCCTGGTGTTAACCCATAAGAGTCTAAGCCAGGGCTTAGACTTATGGGTTAACCAAATGTTAATCCAAAATATATAGGCCCAGTGTAGCTCAGTTGGTAGAGCATGGCGCTTGCAACGCCAGGGTTGTGGGTTCGATTCCCACGGGGGGCCAGTATGGAAAAAAAACTGTATGCACTCACTAACTGTAAAGTCGCTCTGGATAAGAATGTAACGCTAAATGACTAAAATGGAAATGTATTAATATTCTCTTGTTTAGGCTGAAGTTGAGCTGGCAGAGTACTACAAGCTGGACCACAAACTGAAGCTTATGCCTGCGTCTGTTAAACGCTTGTGGCCACGGCTTTGAGATCAGGACCACAACAGAATACAAGCCATCAACTACGGTCCAATACACAACACAGACTCAAATATCTTGATTAGTTCTCTCAAACAATCACTTTACAACATCCCTTTTGGGCTTTGCGTTGGACCGAAAATGTTTTTCTTTTATGCCGTTTACACAATCCACTTAGGAAAATGATCACTGATGTGGAAGGAGGTTAGTCGGCTGAAAAACATGACATTTGGTCTGGAGGAGTCTGTGGAACATGTACACTACATGACCAAAAGTATGTGGACACCTGCTCATTGAAAATCTCATTCCAAAATCATGGGCATTAATATGGAGCTTTGCTGCTATAACAGCCTCCACTCTTCTGGGAAGGCTTTCCACTAGATGGAACATTGTTGCGGGGGACTCAGCCACAAGCGCATTAGTGCAGTCAGGCACTGATGTTGGACGATTAGGCCTGGCTCGCAGTCGGCGTTCTAATTCATCCCAAAAGTGTTCGATGGGGTTGAGGTCATCGATGGGGTTGAGGTCAGTCAAGTTCTTCCACACAGACAAACCATTTCTGTACGGACCTCGCTTTGTGCACAGGGGCATTGTCATGCTGAAACATGAAAGGGCCTTGCACCAAGTTGGAAGCACAGAATAGTCTAGAATGTCATTGTATGCTGTAGCATTAAGATTTCCCTTCACTGGAACTAAGGGGCCTAGCGCGAAACATGAAAAATTGTCCCAGACCATTATTACTCCTCCACCAAACTTTACAGTTTGCACTATGTATTCGGGCAGGTAGCGTTCTCCTGGCATCTGCCAAACCCAGATTCGTCCATCAGACTGCCAGATGGTGAAGCGTGATTCATCACTCCATAGAATGTGTTTCCACTTGCTCCAGAGTCCAATGGCAGCGAGCTTTACACCACTCCAGCCGACACTTGGCCTTGCGCATGGTGATCTTAGGCTTGTGTGCGGCTGCTCGGCCATGGAAACCTATTTCATGGAGCTCCCGACGAACAGTTCTTGTGCTGACGTTGCTTCCAGAAGCAGTTTGAAACTCGTAGTGAGTGTTGCAACCAAAGACAGAATTTTTACCAGCACTTGGCGGTCCTGTTCTGTGAGCTTGTGTGGCCTACCACTCCTAGACGTTACCACTTCACAATAACAGCACTTACAGTTGACCGGGGAAGCTCTAGCAGGGCAGAAATTTGACGAACTGACTTGTTGGAAAGGTGGCTTCCTATGATGGTGCCACGTTGAAAGTCACTGAGCTCTTCAGTAAGGCCATTCTCTACTGCCAATGTTTGTCTATGGCGATTGCATGGCTGTGTGCTCGATTTTACACACCTGTCAGCAATGGGTGTGACTGAAATAGCCTAATCCACTAATTCACAGGGTGAACGAGCAGCTTGAACACCACATGCAGGTATGTTATCAAGGCAAATGTTTTCATATTTTACACCTGGATAATGTGAAGCCTATTCATCCATGGGTGTGCAATGGAGACCTTATGGTGGCCCTTTATGCTGAAGAGATTGCTGCCCTGCAGCCGCTGGATCACTCTGCTGCCCTCAATTGTAGAAAAGTTTAACTTTTGTGACCTAAAGCTGTCGTTGTCACAATAGGCAAGGACGTGCTGTCCTGTTTAATCAATGGTGCAGCAAAAATGTTTTGCAAGAAGGTGAAAGTAGGTTTTTCCTAGATTCAAAAATGTTCTCTCTCCCTTCTCAATGGTGTGTAAGGGATGAGGTGAGGATCAGAAGTGGGCTGCTGAGATTGCAGATGTGAAGAACCACTGCAAGCTGCTGGAGAAGGTGACCTTGGGATATGAAGACGCTGTGGAGGAGCTAAAAGCCACCACGCAACGGAGTGCTCCTTTGACCATTACCACTTCACAATCACATGAAATCAGCATTGTTGTTTTTAACTGCTTTTGCTGAGATTCATTTGCATAGCTTCATTTTACGGGAAAAGCCTGACACGGAAACGCAAATGTTTTTCTTCACAGGTACCAGATTGTGCTGCAAGAAAGAGGAGCGGCAGACTGTGGTGAACAACATAGCCAGTGTGCTCATCGCGGCTATCAACCACTTGTCCATTGTGGAGGTCAGTCCTATATGGCCGTTTGTAACAGTCTCGTCCCTAACATTAATTCAAGGCCTCGTTCCTTCATACAGTGACTTTAGTTAATTTTTTTGGGCCACTGATCCTGAATGTGTGTTTTGTGTTTTTTACCCTTTTCCAGAAATTCATGGAATACCAATTTAATAGTGTCTCGAGTCTACAGGAAAGCCCTCCAGGAGGATGATCCGGACCTTCTAAAGGAAATGGTGGAAAGCTTAGTCGCTAAAGCCAACCTGTGCTGAGTGATTGTTAACCTTACCCTGTATTAATATTCATGTTGTGTAAATAAATATTATGTACTACATTTGTAAAAAATAAAATAAAAAGTATAAAAACCACTAGCATTAATTGTTAACATTTTTTATGCCCTAATGAACATGACCCTGGAGGCCTACATACAGTATTTCAGTCAAGTGATTCTGTCTCATTCCAATCGTCTCTTAGCCAACATGCCACGCTTTGACCGTTATAATTCACAATTATTATTGTATGCACAAGGCAGTAGCATTACCTGTTCCAGTAAACGGAGTCTAAATACCTTTTCCCGTAAGTGATGTCAATCTATACTGCCAATCTAAATGCCGTAAGCGATGTCAATCTAAATCCGAGGCGGTTGGTAATGGGAGGACGGCTCATAATAATGAATGGAATTATATCTAACACTTGGAAACCAGGTGTTGTGTTTGAGACAATGCCGTTACTATGAGCCCATCCTCCCCATTTTAAGTTCCACCAGCCACCACTGATCTAAATGCCATACAATCAGTTGCTTGCCAACAACGTACTCTGCAACAATTCATTTGAAACCTAACATTCTTAGCTTGACAAGGAAGTAACCGCAACCATGCCGCACCCTTTCCCGTCAATCTAGACTCAAGTGAATACCAGTATCTAATGGCTGTTCGTGACTTGGGTTGGCTTTCACCTGAAAATGCCTTTGAGTTACAGTTGCACAATCCCATGACGGACCGTCTCTTATGTTTGTTGATGTTAGATGAGAAAATGAAACAATGTCCTTAAGAATGCACATTCATTAAAATGCAATGCATCAAGTTTCATGACTGTAATAATATGATGTACCTCTAATTCAGAGGAGTACGGTTAAATGCGGAAGACACATTTCAGTTGAATGCATTAGTTGTACAACTGACTAGGTATCTCCTTTTCCCTATATAGCTGATAATGGTATTTCTTGGTATCACCTTGAATTGAAAAAAGTGACACTTTGAAAGTCATAACACAATCATTCCTACTGTCATAGTATAGGGTGCATACTGTGCCTTCAGAAAGTATGCATACCCTTTGACTTAGTCCACATTTTGTTGTTACTCCCTGAATTCAGAATTGATACCAAAAAAATAATCCTCACCCATCTACACACAATACCCCATAATGGCAAAGTGAAAACATTTTAGCAAATGTATTCAAAATGAAATACAGAAATATCTCATTTACATACAGTTGAAGTCGGAAGTTTACATACACTTAGGTTGGAGTCATTAAAACTCGTTTCTCAGCCACTCCACAAATTTCTTGTTAACAAACTATAGTTTTGGCAAGTTGGTTAGGACATCTACTTTGTCCATGACACAAGTAATTTTTTCAACAATTGTTTACTGACAGATTATTTCACTTATATTTCACTGTATCACAATTCCAGTGGGTCAGAAGTTTACATACACTAAGTTGACTGTGCCTTTAAACAGCTTGGAAAATTCCAGAAAATGATGCCATGGAGGTGTACCTGTGGATGTATTTCAAGGCCTACCTTCAAACTCAGTGCCTCTTTGCTTGACATCATGGGGAAATCAAAAGAAATCAGCCAAGACCTCAGAAGAAAAATTGTAGACCTCAACAAGTCTGGTTCATCCTTGGGAGCAATTTCCAAACGCCTGAAGGTACCACGTTCATCTGTACAAACAATAGTACGGAAGTATAAACACCATGGGACCACGCAGCCGTCACACCGCTCAGGAAGGAGACGCGTTCTGTCTCCTAGAGATTAATGTACTTTGGTGCGAAAAGTGCAAATCAATCCCAGAAAAACAGCAAAGGACCTTGTGAAAATGCTATAGGAAACAGGTACACAACTATCTATATCCACAGTAAAACAAGTCCTATATCGACATTTACATACACATTTTAGAAGACGCTCTTATCCAGAGCGACGTACAGTTAGTGAGTGCATACATTTTCATACTGGCCCCCCGTGGGAATCGAACCCACAACCCTGGCGTTGCAAGCGCCATGCTCTACCAACTGAGCTACACGGGGCCAGACATAACCTGAAAGGCCGCTCAGCAAGGAAGAAGCCACTGCTCCAAAACCGCCATAAAAAAGCCAGACTACGGTTTGCAACTGCACATGGGGACAAAGATCGTACTTTTTGGAGAAATGTCCTCTGGTCTGATGAAACAAAAATGGAACTGTTTGGCCATAATGAACATTGTTATGTTTGCTGGAAGAAGGGGGATGCTTGCAAGCCGAAGAACACCATCACAACCGTGAAGAATGGGGGTGGCAGCATCATGCTGTGGGGGTGCTTTGCTGCAGGAGGGACTGGTGCACTTCACAAAATAGATGGCATCATGAGGAAGGAAAATTATGTGGATATATTGAAATAACATCTCAAGACATCAGCCAGGAATTTAAAACTTGGTCGCAAATGGTTCTTCCAAAAGGACAATGACCCCAAGCATACTTCCAAAGTTGTGGCAAAATGGCTTAAGAACAACAAAGTCAAGGTATTGGAGTGGCCATCACAAAGCCCTGACCTCAATCCTATAGAAAATATGTGGGCAGAACTGAAAAAGCGTATACGAGCAAGGAGGCCTACAAACCTGACTCAGTTACACCAGCTCTGTCAGGAGGAATGGGCCAAAATTCACCCAACTTATTGTGGGAAGCTTGTGGAAGGCTACCCAAAACATTTGACCCAAGTTAAACAATTTAAAGGCAATGCTACCAAATACTAATTGAGTGTATGTAAACTTCTGACCCACTGGGAATGTGATGAAAGAAATAAAAGCTTAAATAAATCATTCTCTCTACTATTATTCTGACATTTCACATTCTTAAAATAAAGTGGTGATCCTAACTGACCTAAGACAGGGAATTTTTACTAGGATTAAATGTCAGGAATTGTGAAAAACTGAGCTTAAATGTATTTGGATAAGGTGTATGTAAAGTTCCGACTTCAACTGTAAGTATTCACACCTTTGAGTCAATGCGTGTTACAATCACCTTCGTCAGCGATTACAGCTGAGTTTTTCTGGGTAAGTCTCTAAGAGCATTGCACACCTGGATTGTACAATATTTGCACATTATTCTTTAAAAAATTCTTCAAGCTTTGTTAAGTTGGTTGTTGATCGCAAAATCTTGCTATACATTTTCAATCTTATTTAAGTCAGCTGTAACTAGGCCACTCAGGAATATTCAATGCCGTCTTGGTAAGCAACTCCAGTGTATATTTGGCCTTGTGTTTTAGGTTATTGTCCTGCTTAAAGGTGAATTTGTCTCCCAGTGTCTGTTGGAAAGCAGACGGAACCAGGTTTTCCTCTAGGATTTTGTCTGTGCTTAACTCTATTCTGTTTCTTTTTATCCCCCCAAAAACTTGCTAGTCCTTGCCGATGACAAGCATACCCATAACATGACACCAAGCTTGACACCAAGCTTGAAAATTTGAAGAGTGGTACTCAGTGATGTGTTGTGTTGGATTTGCCCCAAACATAATGCATTGCATTCAGGACATAAAGTTCATTTCTTTGCCACATTGTTTTGCAGTTTTACTTTAGTGCCTTTTTGCAAACAGGATGCATGTTTTTGAATATTTGTATTCTGTACAGGCTTCCTTCTTTTCACTCTGTCATTTAGGTTAGTATTGTGAAGTAGCTACATTGTTGTTGATCCATCCTCAGTTTTCTCCTACCACAGCCATTAAACTCTGTAATGGTTTTAAAGTCACAATTGGCCTCATGGTGAAATCCCTGAGCGGTTTCCATCCTTTCCGGCAACTGAGTTAGGAAGGATGCCTGTATCTTTGTTGTGACTGGGTGTATTGATACACCATCTAAAGTGTCATTTTTATTTTTTATTTTTTTTATTTCACCTTTATTTAACCAGGTAAGCCAGTTGAGAACAGGTTCTCATTTACAACTGCGACCTGGCCAAGATAAAGCAAAGTAGTGCAATAAAAACAACACAGAGTTACATATGGGGTAAAAAAAAAAACATAAAGTCAGAAATACAACAGAAAATATATATACAGTGTGTGCAAATGTAGCAAGTTATGGAGGTAAGGCAATAAATAGGCTATAGTGCAGAATAATTACAATAGTATTAACACTGGAATGCTAGATGTGCAAGAGATTATGTGCAAATAGAGATACTGGGGTGCAAAAGAGCAAAATAAATAACAATATAGGGATGAGGTAGTTGGGTGGGCTAATTTCAGATGGGCTGTGTACAGGTGCAGTGATCGGTAAGGTGCTCTGACAACTGATGCTTAAAGTTATTGAGGGAGATAAGAGTCTCCAGCTTCAGAGATTTTTGCAATTCGTTCCAGTCATTGGCAGCAGAGAACTGGAAGGAATGGCGGCCAAAGGAGGTGTTGGCTTTGGGAATGACCAGTGAGATATACCTGCTGGAGCGCAGGCTACGGGTGGGTGCTGCTATGGTGACCAATGAGCTAAGATAAGGCGGGGATTTGCCTAGCAGTGATTTATAGATGGCCTGGATTTGCCTAGCAGATAAGGCGGGGATTTGCCTAGCAGTGATTTATAGATGGCCATTAATACATTCACCATGCTCAAAGGGATATTCAATGTCTGCTTTTTGTTTTGTTTTTTTGTCTGTAACACAACAAAATGGGGGAAAAGTAAAGGGGTGTGATTACTTTTCTGAAGGCCTCATGTCAAGACAAAAGTTATTCTCGACATACATGTTTTGTCAAAATTACCAATTGAAGAATGCAGTGTATAGACTATACAGTGGCTTGCCAAAGTATTCACGCCCCCATTTGTATCAAATGATACAAATGGGGGGTTTGTATCATTTGATTTACACAACATGCCTACCACTTTGAAGATGCAAAATATTTTTTATTGTGAAACAAACAAGAAATAAGACAAAAAAACAGAACTTGAGCGTGCATAACTATTCGCCCACCCAAAGTCAATACTTTGTAGAGCCACCTTTTGCAGCAATTACAGCTGCAAGTCTCTTGGGGTATGTCTCTATAAGCTTGGCACATCTAGCCACTGGGATTGTTGACCATTCTTCAAGGCAAAACTGCTCCAGCTCCTTCAAGTTGGATGGGTTCCGCTGGTGTACAGCAATCTCATACCACAGATTCTCAATTGGATTGAGGTCTGGGCTTTGACTAGGCCATTCCAAGACATTTAAATGTTTCCCCTTAAACCACTTGAGTGTTGCTTTAGCAGTATGCTTAGGGTCACTGTCCTGCCGGAAGGTGAACCTTCGTCCCAGTCTCAAATCTCTGGAAGACTGAAACAGGTTTCCCACAAGAATTTCCCTGTATTTAGCGCGATCCATCATTCCTTCAATTCTGACCAGTTTCCCAGTCCCTGCTGATGGAAAACATCCCCACAGCATGATGCTGCCACCACCATGCTTCACTGTGGGGATGGTGTTCTCGGGTTGATGAGAGGTGTTGGGTTTGCGCCAGACATAGTGTTTTCCTTGATGGCCAAAAAGCTCAATTTTACTTTCATCTGACCACAGTACCTTCTTCCATATGTTTGGGGAGTCTCCCACATGACTTTTGGCGAACACCAAACGTGTTTGCTTATTTTTTCTTTAAGCAATGGCTTTTTTCTGGCCACTTCCATAAAGCCCAGCTCTGTATACGGCTTAAAGTGGTCCTATGGACAGACACTCCAATCTCCGCTGTGGCGCTTTGCAGCTCCTTCAGGGTTATCTTTGGTCTCTTTGTTGCCTCTCTGATTAATGCCCTCCTTGCCTGGTCCGTGAGTTTTGGTGGGCGGCCCTCTCTTGGCAGGTTTGTTGTGGTGCCATATTCTTTCCCTTTTTTAATAATGGATTTAATGGTGCTCTGTGGGATGTTCAAAGTTTCTGATATTTTTTATAACCCAACCCTGATCTGTACTTCTCCACAACTTTGTCTCTGACCTGTTTGGAGAGGTCCTAGGTCTTCATGCTGCCGCTTGCTTGGTGGTGCCCCTTGCTTAGTGGTGTTGCAGGTGTATATATACTGAGATCATGTGACAGATCATGTGACACTTAGATTGCACACAGGTGGACTTTATTTAACTAATTATGTGACCTCTGAAGGTAATTGGTTGCACCAGATCTTATTTAGGGGCTTCATAGCAAAGGGGGTGAATACATATGCACGCACCACTTTTCCGTTATTAATTATTTGAATTCTTTGAAACACGTTATTTTTTAAATTTCACCAATAAGGACTATTTTGTGTATATCCATTACATGAAATCCAAATAAAAATCTATTTAAATTACAGGTTGCAATGCAACAAAATAGGAAAAACACCAAGGGGGATGAATAATACAAATAATAAAAATAATATGCCTTTTAGCAGACACTTTTATCCAAAGCGACTTACAGTCAAGCGTGCATACATTTTCACGTATAGGTGGTCCAAGGGATCGAACCCACTAACCTGGCGTTACAAGCGCCATGCTCTACCAATTGAGCTACAGAGGACCATGAATAATTTTGCATTTCTGTATTTCTAGCAGAGGAGGCTGGTGGGAGGAGCTATAGGAGGACGGGCACATTGTAATGGCTGGAATGGAGTAAATGGAACGAAGTCAAACGTGGTTTCCATATGTTTGATGTTCCATTTATTATTTTCCGTTCCATTTATACGATTCCAGCCATCACAATGAGCCCATCCTCCTATAGCTCCTCCCACCAGCCTCTTCTGATTTCTAGACATCATATCAACAGTAGGGCTATAAGATTAGTTTAGAACTGATAAGAATAGAGGCACTGTAAGTGCTGTTATTGTGAAGTGGAAACGTCTAGGAGCGACAACGGCTCAGCCGCGAAGTTGTAGGCCACACAAGCTCACAGAACGGGACTGCTCAGTTCTGTAGCGCGTAAAAATCATCTGTCCTCGGTTGCAACACTCACTACTGAGTTCCAAACTGCCTCTAGAAGCAACGTCCGTACAAGGTCTGTTCTTTGGGAGCTTCATGAAATGGGTTTCCTTGGCAGAGCAGCCGCACACAAGCCTAAGATCACCATGCGCAATGCCAAGCGTCAGCTGGAGTGGTGTAAAGCTTGCCACCATTGGACTGGAGCAGTGGAAACGCGTTCTCTGGAGTGATTAATCCCACTTCACCATCTGGCAGTCTGGGTTTGGCGGATGCCAGGAGAACCCTACCTGCCCGAATGCATAGTGCCAACTGTAAAGTTTGGTGGAGTAGGAATAATGGTCTGGGGCTGTTTTTCATGGTTCAGGCTCCTTAGTTCCAGTGAAGGGAAATCTTAACGCTACAGCATACAATGACATTCTAGACTATTCTGTGCTTCCAACTATGTGGCAACAGTTTGGGGAAGGCCCTTTCCTGTTTCAGCATGACGATGCCCCCATGCACAAAGCGAGGTCCATACAGAAATGGTTTGTCAAGATCAGCGTGGAAGAACTTGACTGGCCTGCACAGAGCCCTGACCTCAACCCCATCGAACACCTTTGGGAAGAATTGGAACGCCGACTGCGAGCCAGGCCTAATCGCCCAACATCAGTGCCCGACCTCACTAATGCTCTTGTGGCTGAATGGACGCAAGTCCCCACAGCAATGTTCCAACGTCTAGTGGAAAGCCTTCCCAGAAGAGTGGAGGCTGTTATAGCAGCAAAGGGGGGACCAACTCCATATTAATGCCCATGATTTTGGAATGAGATGTTCTACGAGCATGTGTCCACATACCTTTGGTCATGTAGTATATTTATAGCAGAGGAGGCTGGTGGGAGGAGCTATAGGAGGACGGGCACATTGTAATGGCTGGAATGGAGTAAATGGAACGAAGTCAAACGTGGATTCCATATGTTTGATGTTCCATTTATTATTTTCCGTTCCATTTATACGATTCCAGCCATCACAATGAGCCCATCCTCCTATAGCTCCTCCCACCAGCCTCTTCTGATTTCTAGACATCATATCAACAGTAGGGCTATAAGATTAGTTTAGAATTGATAAGAATAGAGGTGAGGATGGGCAGACAGTCTCTATACCTAACTCTGTTGTGGATAGAAACATTTGTACAAGCCATTTACAGTGGGGGGAAAAAGTATTTAGTCAGCCACCAATTGTGCAGGTTCTCCCACTTAAAAAGATGAGAGAGGCCTGTAATTTTCATCATAGGTACACGTCAACTATGACAGTCAAAATGAGGAAAAAAATTCCAGAAAATCACATTGTAGGATTTTTTATGAATTTATTTGCAAATTATGGTGGAAAATAAGTATTTGGTCAATAACAAAAGTTTCTCAATACTTTGTTATATACCCTTTGTTGGCAATGACACAGGTCAAACGTTTCTGTACGTCTTCACAAGGTTTTCACACACTGTTGCAGGTATTTTGGCCCATTCCTCCATGCAGATCTCCTCTAGAGCAGTGATGTTTTGGGGCTGTCGCTGGGCAACACGGACTTTCAACTCCCTCCAAAGATTTTCTATGGGGTTGAGATCTGGAGACTGGCTAGGCCACTCCAGGACCTTGAAATGCTTCTTACGAAGCCACTCCTTCGTTGCCCGGGCGGTGTGCTTGGGATCATTGTCATGCTGAAAGACCTAGCCACGTTTCATCTTCAATGCCCTTGCTGATGGAAGGAGGTTTTCACTCAAAATCTCACGATACATGGCCCCATTCATTATTTCCTTTACACAGATCAGTCGTCCTGGTCCCTTTGCAGAAAAACAGCCCCAAAGCATGATGTTTCCACCCCCATGCTTCACAGTAGGTATGGTGTTCTTTGGATGCAACTCAGCATTCTTTGTCCTCCAAACACGACAAGTTTAGTTTTTACCAAAAAGTTCTATTTTGGTTTCATCTGACCATATGACATTCTCCCAATCCTCTTCTGGATCATCCAAATGCACTCTAGCAAACTTCAGACGGGCCTGGACATGTACTGGCTTAAGCAGGGGGACACGTCTGGCACTGTAGGATTTGAGTCCCTGGCGGCGTAGTGTGTTACTGATGGTAGGCTTTGTTACTTTGGTCCCAGCTCTCTGCAGGTCATTCACTAGGTCCCCCCGTGTGGTTCTGGGATTTTTGCTCACCGTTCTTGTGATCATTTTGACCCCACGGGGTGAGATCTTGCGTGGAGCCCCAGATCGAGGGAGATTATCAGTGGTCTTGTATGTCTTCCATTTCCTAATAATTGCTCCCACAGTTGATTTCTTCAAACCAAGCTGCTTACCTATTGCAGATTCAGTCTTCCCAGCCTGGTGCAGGTCTACAATTTTGTTTCTGGTGTCCTTTGACAGCTCTTTGGTCTTGGCCATAATGGAGTTTGGAGTGTGACTGTTTGAGGTTGTGGACAGGTGTCTTTTATACTGATAACAAGTTCAAACAGGTGCCATTAATACAGGTAACGAGTGGAGGACAGAGGAGCCTCTTAAAGAAGAAGTTACAGGTCTGTGAGAGCCAGAAATCTTGCTTGTTTGTAGGTGACCAAATACTTATTTTCCACCATAATTTGCAAATAAATTCATTAAAAATCCTACAATGTGATTTTCTGGAGAAAAAAAATCTCTACTTGTCTGTCATAGTTGAGGTGTACCTATGATGAAAATTACAGGCCGCTCTCATCTTTTTAAGTGGGAGAACTTGCACAATTGGTGGCTGACTAAATACTTTTTTCCCCACTGTACTTTGGGCTAGTTCTTGGACTTCAAATCAAAGCCAATTACTCATTAACTTTCAACAAACAACAAAACTTTACAAATGTCAAGACACAGTTAGGTGTCAAGGCACAGGTAGTTCACTTCACTCATCAAGCTGACAAGGTAAAACTGGATGTTGTTTACCACGGTGACAGTCAGTTCCCAGTGGTCAGCTTGTTCCTGTTCCCTTTCTCAGCCTGCATCTCATTCAGACATACAATGCTGTTACGGCTGATGGGTAGTCTGAACAGTCTGTGTCAGTGCTATGCTGCTGCTGCTGCTTCCCTTGAGAGCAGATGTGATGTATTTTTGTGTTTGTGTGACAAAGTGTACTGGCCTATGTTGTGATGTGATTCAGTTGAGTAGCTTTAGGTATAGAGAGAGAGAGCGAGAAAGAGATGCCAATCTAAGGGGAGGCCATTGAGTTCTGCTATAATAGGTTTCAGCCAACCAGCACCAGACAAACATAAACTATTAATAGATGAATAATAAATGTGATAATAATATACATTATTAAAACATGTCTGATTCTTCCCTCAAATCAATTTGTGTTTGTGAACAAGTATTGTCCTAGACAATTACAGTTTCAAGATATAAATATGTGCAGTTCAATAGGGGGAAAATAAAACAAACTAAATGTCAAAACACAAAAACAAAAACAACATGAAAATGAAAAAGGACAAAACAAAATAGATTAAAGACAAATAGTTTTCAGTATTTCCAAATTAAAACGGTCTATTCAAATTTCATTCTCAACCAACCCAGAGCCTCATAGGTAAACTGAGAAAAAGACAGAGCAGGGCAATGCTATCTCACATTGTTGTTAAATTAGCTCTTGCAAGTGGGAGAGAGCATGTGACAAATTTACCAGAGTTTTGGGCTTGGCCCCACGCAGTCTGGCAGTGGGTCTTTCCAGCTGCGCAATATCCAAGTACATTAGCAACCAAAATCTGCAAAGGGCAATACCCGGTTCAAACCAACTCCTTAGAATAGTTTTTTTGCCTACTGTTAATGCAGCCATAAAAATCTGCCTCTTTTGATAAGATAACAAAATGCTAGGGTTACAACCTAGCCGGAGGAGGGATGGGCAAACAGGTATGTTTCTGCCAAGAATACAATTTAAAACAATAACAACATGAACCCAAATAGACTTCACCGGTACACAGCTCCAAAACATATGCATATATTTGGCCACCTTAGATTGGATACATTTATTACATAAATCACTATCCACAAGCTTCATTTTGAACCTTCGCTCTGGGGTAAAATAAAACCTTTGAGTAAATTTGAAATGAATAAGTTGATGGACAAGGCTCTTAGAAGAGGCAAAAATATTGCCCCATATCGTGGTCCAATCCCATTCAAACGCTGCACTTTGTAGGTAATTCTCCCAGATCTCCATAACAGGTATATGTTTTATATTATGAGTTACTAGCCTATCATATAGTGAGGACACCACTGGACATGAAAGTGATTTCAATAAAGCGTGGCAGTATGGTTTGGTGTCCCATGGTACACCGTAGGTTTTCAATGCTGTACGAATTATGAGATAAAAAATAGAAATAAAGAAAACAGGAAGAACCATATAGAGATTATGACTCTTTCAGATCTTGAAAGGAACGAAGCCCTTGCAGGTTGAAGATGTCCTTCAAAACATGAACACCTTGCTTAGACCAAGGAGGGAATGTAAAGGGCATAAAGCCAGATAAAATAAAATTGATATTCCAAATAGGTGATAACTTGTGAAAATTGCAAGTTGTGCCCAGATAATTATTGATTTGGTACCAAACTGTAAATTTATTTTTTATAATAGATCCCATAAAAGATTAGGACGTTTTTTGCTTTATCAGAAGAATTCTAATTGGGTGAGACTTGGCCTCCTCTATTTTCCACCAAGGCACATCAGATGAAGAGCCAAGAAAAATAGTCAGTGACCTCAGCTGGAATGCATAGTAGAGTTTAAAGTTGGGTAAAGAGATCCCTCCAAACTCTTTGAGGCGTTGTAAGGTGGAGAGACTAATTCAATTGAAATTTCTCCCCAAAATACTGTATCTACAGACCCTTTCCCTTTTTCCAAAATTTGTTACGTTACATTTGTAAAAAATTCTAAAAACCTGTTTTTGCTTTGTCATTATGGGGTATTGTGTGTAGATTGATGAGGAAAAAAACTATTTAATCCATTATAGAATAAGGCTGTAACACAACAAAATGTAGAAAAAGTGAAGGGGTCTGAATAATTTCCGAATGCACTGTATGTCCTTAAATAATGAAGTTGGGGGAGGAAGAGAAAGCATTGAAAACAAGAAATTAATGATGTGCTTCCCTCTCTCCGTCCTTCCCTCCTTCTCTCTCAGTCCTTCTCCAACTGAAGCAGCTAGAGCAGCCAGTCTCCCACCCTACTAGGGCGTATTCTTGGTCCGTCTTCTATCAGTTCTTCATCTGGTCAGTCTCCCACCCTACTAGGGTGTATTCTTGGTCCCTCTTCTATCAGTTCTTCATCTGGTCAGTCTCCCACCCTACTAAAGCGTATTTTTACACCTTTCCTATCACCCCTCCTTCCACACCTCCTATCACCCCTCCGATCACCCGTCCTTCCACGCCTCCTATCACCCCTCCTTCCACCTTTCCTACCACCCCTCCTTCCACCTTTGCGATCACCCCTCCTATCACCCCTCCTTCCACCTTTCTTAACACCCCTCCTTCCACCCGTCCTATCACCCCTCCTTCCACCCCTCCTATCACCCCTCCGATCACCCCTCCTTCCACCCCTCCTATCACCCTTCCTTCCACCTTCCCTATCACCCCTCCTTCCACCTTTCCGATCACCCCTCCTATCACCCCTCCTTCCACCTTTTCTAACACCCCTCCTATCACCCCTCCTTCCACCTTTCCGATCACCCCTCCTTCCACCTTTCCTAACACCCCTCCTATCACCCCTCCTTCCACTCCTCCTTCCACCCCTCCTCTACCAGTTCTTCATCTATAGTGCAGTGTCTCCCACCACCATGCCGGCCATAGTGAACCTGCTCTTCAACACGGTGTCCACCAACACCACCATCTCCTTCTCCCTGGTGCTGCTCCTGGTCAGCATCCTCTCCCTCCTGGTGGGGGTCGGGGGGTCATCTGCTCATGTGGCTAGTGCTGATGTGTAAACTGCGGCGACGCTCCAAGCCCAGCTCCGTGCTGCTCCTCAACCTGAGCCTGGCCGACCTGTGCGCCCTGCTCACCCTGTCCTGCGTCCTGCCCAGCAACAGCTCCCAGGACTGCTAGGGGACGGTATCTGTGTGCTGCTGGGCTTCGTCACCTCCCTGATGGCCGGAGTGCATTATACAGTATTTAGTCTGGAAGCCTTGTCGGTGCTCAGCTACCGCATAGTGGCCCACCTGCTAAAACGCCCGCCAGCCCCACTGAAGTGTAAGTATAGGAATTATGGAATTACACTACTCATCTACACTCAGTTGGAGCCCCCTCAGCTATATACCCTCCTCTCTCCCCCTTTCTCAGAGCCGGGATCGTGGCAGTGATCTCGCTAGTCTCTGTCACAATCGCCATTCCCCAGGTCACCTACATCCATTTTGACAGTGGTGTATGTGGTCTGTGACTGGGTTCCCTGGTGCCAGCCTTCCTGGTCTACTACTTTGCTCCGCTCCTCTGCAACGCCCTCAACTGTGGCCTCATCATCAACCACCTCCATCGCTGCCGGGGCACGCTGGCTGCAGACCGCCTCAACAAGAAGGCCACAGCGCTCCTGATTGGGTCAACGCTGGTCTTCGCCATCAACTGGCTGCCCTACTACGCCCTGGAGTTCATCAACGTCATGTCCCCCTACGTCAGCTCCACTGCCTTGCCTATCAGCCAACAATCCTTCAGGGGTGGAGGGGTCTCCCATTGCGCTCCTCCTACATCAACTCGTCCGCTTCCCCGACACGTAGCTGTCTCTCCTCTGGGAGGTGGCGTCTCTGTCGGACATCTTGTTGGTGTGTTTGGCATCCTGCCATCACTGAGGACATTTTGGGAAGCCTGCTCCCGCGTATCACCCCCACGCGGCCACCATGTTTTCCTCGCCCCCGGCCTCCTCCCAGCACACCTTGCAACTCAGGCTGATCCAATGAGATGAACACACACACACTCACACACACACACACACACACACACACAATGCAATTACACAACAGATTTTGATTACATACATGCTTACACAGTTTATGGCACAATTACTTTGCTTCTAACAGGCTATACCTTTTAGCCTACATATGTCGGTGTGTGTGTGTTTGAGACACTTTAAACAGAAGAGTTAAAGTGTCATAAATGTGATGTGTCATAAAAGCAGAGGCTTAGAATCTTAGATCACGTTGCAATTGTCACTTAGCAACTCAGACTCATCATACAGAGAGGAGAGACTAGGTTGGGGGGGGGGGGTTGGCAGAGAGAGGGAGAGGATTTTAAAAAATGAAGAGAGCCTAGCCGAGACACTGATTCAGGGGGCTGATCAAGTGGTAAAGTGTGTGTAATGAAGGCAGAAGGGCATGAAATATATTGTTAGTGTTTCTCTCACAGAGAAGACAACAACATGATTGACAGGTGAGACCCATTTATGCCATCATTGAACAACACAGTTGGTATTCTAAACATGCCTCCCAAACCAATAATACAAACAATCATGAAGAATACTGAGATAAGTGTACATACCATTGCTCCTTCATCTAACTGTGCCTTAATTGCATGCTGTGCATAATCTTAAAGGCCCAGTGCAGTCAAATACGTTATTTTCCTGTGTTATATATACAGTGGGGAAAAAAGTATTTAGTCAGCCACCAATTGTGCAAGTTCTCCCACTTAAAAAGATGAGAGAGGCCTGTAATTTTCATCATAGGTACACGTCAACTATGACAGACAAAATGAGAGAAAAAAATCCAGAAAATCACATTGTAGGATTTTTAATGAATTTATTTGCAAATTATGGTGGAAAATAAGTATTTGGTCAATAACAAAAGTTTCTCAATACTTTGTTATATACCCTTTGTTGGCAATGACACAGGTCAAACGTGTTCTGTAAGTCTTCACAAGGTTTTCACACACTGTTGCTGGTATTTTGGCCCATTCCTCCATGCAGATCTCCTCTAGAGCAGTGATGTTTTGGGGCTGTCGCTGGGCAACACAGACTTGCAACTCCCTCCAAAGATTTTCTATGGGGTTGAGATCTGGAGACTGGCTAGGCCACTCCAGGACCTTGAAATGCTTCTTACGAAGCCACTCCTTCGTTGCCCGGGCGGTGTGTTTGGGATCATTGTCATGCTGAAAGACCCAGCCACGTTTCATCTTCAATGCCCTTGCTGATGGAAGGAGGTTTTCACTCAAAATCTCACGATACATGGCCCCATTCATTCTTTCCTTTACACGGATCAGTCGTCCTGGTCCCTTTGCAGAAAAACAGCCCCAAAGCATGATGTTTCCACCCCCATGCTTCACAGTAGGTATGGTGTTCTTTGGATGCAACTCAGCATTCTTTGTCCTCCAAACACGACGAGTTGAGTTTTTACCAAAAAGTTCTATTTTGGTTTCATCTGACCATATGACATTCTCCCAATCCTCTTCTGGATCATCCAAATGCACTCTAGCAAACTTCAGACGGGCCTGGACATGTACTGGCTTAAGCAGGGGGACACGTCTGGCACTGCAGGATTTGAGTCCCTGGCAGCGTAGTGTGTTACTGATGGTAGGCTTTGTTACTTTGGTCCCAGCTCTCTGCAGGTCATTCACTAGGTCCCCCCGTGTGGTTCTGGGATTTTTGCTCACCGTTCTTGTGATCATTTTGACCCCACGGGGTGAGATCTTGCGTGGAGCCCCAGATCGAGGGAGATTATCAGTGGTCTTGTATGTCTTCCATTTCCTAATAATTGCTCCCACAGTTGATTTCTTCAAACCAAGCTGCTTACCTATTGCAAATTCAGTCTTCCCAGGCTGGTGCAGGTCTACATTTTTGTTTCTGGTGTCCTTTGACAGCTCTTTGGTCTTGGCCATAGTGGAGTTTGGAGTGTAACTGTTTGAGGTTGTGGACAGGTGTCTTTTATGCTGATAACAAGTTCAAACAGGTGCCATTAATACAGGTAACGAGTGGAGGACAGAGGAGCCTCTTAAAGAAGAAGTTACAGGTCTGTGAGAGCCAGAAATCTTGCTTATTTGTAGGTGACCAAATACTTATTTTCCACCATAATTTGCAAATAAATTCATAAAAAAATGCTACAATGTGATTTTCTGAAAAAAAATGCTCAATTTGTCTGTCATAGTTGACATGTACCTATGATGAAAATTACAGGCCTCTCTCATCTTTTTAAGTGGGAGAACTTGCACAATTGGTGGCTGACTAAATACTTTTTTTCCCCACTGTACAAGACCACTGATAATCTCCCTCGATCTGGGGCTCCACGCAAGATCTCACCCCGTGGGGTCAAAATGATCACAAGAACGGTGAGCAAAAATCCCAGAACCACACGGGGGGACCTAGTGAATGACCTGCAGAGAGCTGGGACCAAAGTAACAAAGCCTACCATCAGTAACACACTACGCCGCCAGGGACTCAAATCCTGCAGTGCCAGACGTGTCCCCCTGCTTAAGCCAGTACATGTCCAGGCCCGTCTGAAGTTTGCTAGAGTGCATTTGGATGATCCAGAAGAGGATTGGGAGAATGTCATATGGTCAGATGAAACCAAAATAGAACTTTTTGGTAAAAACTCAACTCGTCGTGTTTGGAGGACAAAGAATGCTGAGTTGCATCCAAAGAACACCATACCTACTGTGAAGCATGGGGGTGGAAACATCATGCTTTGGGGCTGTTTTTCTGCAAAGGGACCAGGACAACTGATCTGTGTAAAGGAAAGAATGAATGGGGCCATGTATCGTGAGATTTTGAGTGAAAACCTCCTTCCATCAGCAAGGGCATTGAAGATGAAACGTGGCTGGGTCTTTCAGCATGACAATGATCCCAAACACACCGCCCAGGCAACGAAGGAGTGGCTTCGTAAGAAGCATTTCAAGGTCCTGGAGTGGCCTAGCCAGTCTCCAGATCTCAACCCCATAGAAAATCTTTGGAGGGAGTTGAAAGTCCGTGTTGCCCAGCGACAGCCCCAAAACATCACTGCTCTAGAGGAGATCTGCATGGAGGAATGGGCCAAAATACCAGCAACAGTGTGTGAAAAACTTGTGAATGTCACACTCTGGCTCCGGGACTGTGTGTTAGAGCCAGGGTGTATTTCATTTGGTGGTGTTGGGTTTGGGTGAGTTTCATTTTGTTTGTGTTTAGTGGTGATTGGTCAATGACTCCCAATCGGAGGTAACGAGTGTCAGCTGTCGGCTCGTTATCTCTGATTGGGAGCCATATATATTCTGTGTGTTTTTCACCTTGTGTTTGTGGGTTTTTGTTCCAGTGTTCCATGTTTCCGTTTCAGTCGTGTTCATTGTGGACTTCACGTATCGTCTTTTGTTTTGTTTTCTCGTGTTGCACTTTATTTAATAAAGTCATGAACACTCAACGCGCTGCGCTTTGGTCCGCTCATTTTGAAGACGATCGTGACAGAAAAACCCACCATCAAAGGACCAAGCAGCGTGTCCAGGAGCCGAGGGTCTGGACATGGGAAGAGTTATTGGACGGAAAGGGTCCTTGGGCACAACCGGGAGAATATCGCCTCCCTCGTGAAGAGCTGGAGGCAGCCAAAGCCGAGAGGAGGTGGTATGAGGAGGCAGCACGAAGGCGAGGCTGGAAGCCCGTGGACGAGAGGCAACCCCAAGAAATGTTTTGGGGGGGGCACATGGCTTGGGCGACTGAGCAGCAGGAGGCTGCCACAAGGCAGATGCAGAAGGCTACCAGGTTAAGGGGGCTGACGGAGGCAGAAAAGGGACGGATTCAGGAAGCTACCAGGTTAAGGGGGCTACTGGGAAAAGCAGGGAAGGAAGGTGTAGAGGCTCGGCGAGAGGTACTGGGGTGTGTAACCAGTCCGGTCCGGCCCGTTCCTAATCCCGAGGTACAGCCAGTAGTGTGTGTTCCCCGTACGGTACGGCCTGTTCCGGCCCCTCGCACTAAGTGTACGGTGCGCGTCGCCAGCCCGGTTCGGCCTGTTCCTGCCACCCGCACCAAGTGTACGGTGCGCGTCGCCAGCCCAGCCCGGCCTGTTCCTGAGCCTCGTAGGAAGCCTACGGTGCGCGTCGCCAGCCCGGTTCGGCCTGTTCCTGCCACCCGCACCAAGTGTACGGTGCGCGTCGCCAGCCCAGCCCGACCTGTTCCGGCCACTCGCACCAGGGATACGGTGCGTCCCCAGGGCCAAGCATGCCCTGTTGCTGCTTCCCGCACTAGCCCTGAGATGCGTGTCCTCAGCCCGGTACCTCCAGTTCCGGCACCACGCATCAGGCCTACGGTGCGTCCCCAGGGTCCAGCATGCCCTGTTGCTTCTCCCCGCACTAGCCCTGAGATGCGTGTCCTCAGCCCGGTACCTCCAGTTCCGGCACCACGCATCAGGCCTACGGTGCGTCCCCAGGGTCCAGCATGCCCTGTTGCTTCTCCCCGCACTAGCCCTGAGATGCGTGTCCTCAGCCCGGTACCTCCAGTTCCGGCACCACGCATCAGGCCTACGGTGCGTCCCCAGGGCCAAGCATGCCCTGTTGCTGCTTCCCGCACTAGCCCTGAGATGCGTGTCCTCAGCCCGGTACCTCCTGTTCCGGCACCACGCACCAGGCCTACGATGCGCCTCAGACGGCCAGAGTCTGCCGTCTGCCCAACGGGGCCTGAACTGCCCGTCTGCCCAAAGCCTGCAAAGCCGCCCGTCTGCCATGAGCCATCAGAGCCGTCCGCCAGACCGGAGCCGCTAGAGCCTTCCGCCAGACAGGATCAGCCAGAGCCTTCCGCCAGACAGGATCAGCCAGAGCCTTCTGCCAGACAGGATCAGCCAGAGCCTTCTGCCAGACAGGATCAGCCAGAGCCTTCTGCCAGACAGGATCAGCCAGAGCCTTCTGCCAGACAGGATCAGCCAGAGCCTTCTGCCAGACAGGATCAGCCAGATCCGTCAGCCAGCCATGAGCAGCCAGATCCGTCAGCCAGCCATGAGCAGCCAGATCCGTCAGCCAGCC